GAGAGAGAAAAAGAGTGAAAAAGAGGGAGTGCATGAATGAGAGAGCGATCTATGCAGGCATATTTTGCGACACAGAAGCCCATGATCAGTGAAGGATATTGTATGTTGTCTTGTTTTCTGTCACGTCTAACTAACAGCAAATTTACCATAGTGAAAGGGCCAGTGGGTCACTAATCCAAGCAAAAGATCAAAATCATTATTTTTACTGGAAAATGAGCCATAAATTCAATAACAAAACAAAAATTGAAAAGAGAACACAATTACTTATTTATATTCACCAAAATCAATAGCACAATATTTGTTTAATACTCAAAAGCTTCATACAATGATGAACGCAAAAACAAAAATCACGCAATCAATTTAAAAGGACAGGGAGGACAACAGGAAAGGACAACATATCTACAACGTATCTCTTTTCCACTGAAGTAAACAAAAAACAACATATTAAGTAACTGAAAGGGCAACATTTATTCGAAACCTGTCATTCATCACAGAAATGTGCTAATCAGTCATTCAATACGTAATGAAGCCATTCCTATTCAGGGGATGCGAGACTGAGACCTCCACTTCAAAACCTCCGCAAACCACTCAGAAAAGACATAACTGACTTTCAAGGTCAAGGCTAAAATTGGAATGATACAGTGAAAAAATCCATGCTGTATTAGTGCCCCGGTAAAAAAAGCTGAGGTTCTTGTTACCTCTACCTTGAAACGGTAAAACTGGTCTGACAAAATGACTTTTGGCCTAGATCACACTGAATTAGAGAAAAAAAATGTTCAAAGTTATAGGCAAATATCAAAATTATGAGGACTAAATTTTTATCCAACTTCTGCTGTATTATAACATGTTAGAGAAGAGTGGAAACTAAAACAGACCGGATTCTCAAAATTATTGTTGACATTATGGCGGTGAAGCGAATGAAAGAACTACACTATTGTCAACATATGCAATTGCACAAACACAAACACACAATTCAAACAAAGTTTCCCATCACTCATTAAATTATGAAGTTGATTTTTTTTTTTAAAGGTACTGCTGACTCTATCAAATTATATGTGAGTCTAGTGGTGCCAGAGATTCTTGAATGTATACAGGTGGTAACAAAAAAACACACAAAAAATTCAGATTTTTCCAAGGTGTAAGCAATCTGGATATATGCGAGTTATAGTGTGCAGTAAGAATCACATTGATAGGAAGTCCCCACAATGAAATAAAATAGACCTGAGCATTTACAAATAAAAGGGGGGAAAAAAGACATGAAAAACAGGAATTTTTGCCAACCAAAAAGATTTTGAAAAAACAATCCCATATGAGCAGAACTTTAAGGAAAAAGCGAAGTAACTAAATAACAAGACTATGAGGAAATCTAAAGGGTCAAGCAAGGCAACAAATTGACGTCAAACTGGTCTGCAGTATTTTTGAAAAGGTCAAAACCAAAAGACCATGACTATCAGGTTGTGCAAACTGATCTTTGACACTTGAAGTTTTCCTTTCACGACTACAGCACTACTGAGATCTTACAGTGACTTATTTTGCTGCCTCTGTCGGTTGGTGAAAACCCTTTTTTAAAATTTGGATTACCAAGTTTCTCAGGCTAAAATCTAATTCAAACTCAGTAGCTCTCAGAATATAAGTTCAACAAGGAAAACAAAGTCATCACCTCCATCTGCCAAAAAGGCGAGGCAACTCGGTCCAACTTTTCAAACAGTGGGAAAGTGTATCACAACTCTGCTGGTAAGAATTACTGAGAGTTCAAAAGACCTCACAAAATATAACTGGGCCATATGGTCACATGCTTCCAGTATAGAAGGTGCATTAAAGTGTAAGCTAACTGACCATGATTTCCAGCACAAGGATACAATGACAGGTAAGACAATAGCATGTAGTACAACATTGGTGTAACACACTTCGCAATGCTATAAAAGATATTAAAGCTGCAAGACATCCGATTAAACATCAGTCTCTGATAGGATCCCGTGATATGGGTGGACAGGAATTTTAAAAAAAACACAAACAAAAACAACCCAAGCACAAGAATCAAGCAAGCCCCATAAGGGACTATAAACAGAATCATCTGCATCACAGTCCAGCACGACAACTCCACAACAGGACTCCCTTCACAGTTTTCCCTTCAATAAGATGGTCACAATTCAAAATGGTACAATTTCTCAATATATCATTATTGACTCTGTGCTGCTGACATCATTTTTGGGGGGGTCCAAAATAAAAGAATCGCTTCTCTAGAATGGCACGATGACAATTTTTACCATGGCTTCAATGAGCATAATTTTGAGCTTGAAAAGGCTATGTTCTTGTAACATATTATACAGTGATTTCCCTGTAGAAGTACAAAGAGGCTATATTTTTAATGTTAGTAACCTGTACCACGGCTGTCCCATAATCTATAAAGGGTAGTGTTATTGTAACCTATACAAGGCTTGTCCCAAGCTTCTATGAGGGGAGTAAGTAATAGTAACTTGTTCCAAATTTTTCCCATACATCCCTCTTATATTCATAGATCAATATAGCTTTGAAGACATTTCTGCTAAACTACAATAAAATTTAGTGCAAACATTACATGCAACTTCCAGGAATAAAGAACCTTAAGACTTAAAGAGTAAAAACTGGCACAAATCTACAAACAAAATCAAAGAGAATAAAACAGCAAAACCACTTTTATCCTTTCAATTCAAACAATCACAACATAGCGCTATGAGTCCACAGAAAAAGGAAAAATGGACAAAAGGTGTAATACAGAAGAAAAAGAAAAAAAAGGAAGTGCAATTCTGAAAACTGGCAATTAGTCCAAAGAAGGCGTCCGTTTATTCTTACTTACTGAGTTCAAATAAACAGCATTCATATTTCTACCATTTTGTTGACAGTAATTGGTAACATAATCTATTGCACCCACATACTGTTATACTGTAGAAATGCTTATGTCAGCTCTGAAGCACAACAGGTTGTCTTTATTACTTTACAGCACTTTCTGGGTCTCCTTTTTCTGTACCCAGAACTTTACTGTACTCAAAACAAGCAAATTGTTGCACAATTGACAAGGAACTGGGCCAGAGATGAGCAAGTAGAATTTCCAAGGAATTCAGAGGGGTTTCTGAATTTTTCTTTTCTTTCTTAGAATACTTTCTCTCCACTCAGTGTGCAGTGTTCAGGAAGCAAACACTCTGTTTCAAAAAGGCCATTCCCTCTCCAGTAAGGCATTCAACTGTAAGGAAAACCATTCTGTCACGACGCAGTGGAATCAGGCGCTCATCTATTGTTAAGGCATGTGGAGTTATTGCTATACTGAAAGCTGGTTCATTTGATGAATAAACTATCCATCTATCTTGACTAGAAGTCAAGATATTTTAAATTGAAGGAGTTGGGGTCGCCTGGCTTCAGGAGGTAAAATTAGCAAGAAAATAGCCGTCACATTTGGATATCTTCAATAACCTGAGAGTCCTTGAAAACTGAATATTAAAAATTGCTAAACTGGCGAAAAAATGCCGGTTTCTTCGATTCCATTATTATGAAGAGTGCCAGGTTTCCTTCACCTTGATGCCTCACAATTTTCAGAACAGAAAATATGCCAACTCATATGACTAGCAAAAAATAAAGTGAACATATTACACTGATGACAAGACAAATATTATTTGCACATACCAATTGATTTCAAAGTGAACAAATTTTGCATTTACAACCAGTTCGGAACAAAACAGTATTTACAAGGTCTGTGCTTTTGCTTAATTTCATACGCTCTCCAATAAAGCTCTGAGCCTCCATCAAGCAAAAAAACAATTTTTTTTAAAAAAGCACACAGAAGCAAATATACAAAATCTGACTTTTCTCCTCTTGATCAACAAAGACAATATTTTGTCTTTGAACAAGACGACCACAGAATACAATACAGCATCATTAGATACACCACTCAAAAAGTCCCTTAGAACTTTGAACAAGAAAACTTTAAAACTGAGCACACACGAAATTCTGACATCTTTTACCACACTGCGGCTGTCGTCATTTCTGAAAATAATGTTTTGATACAATACTGACAGAATCCAAACCCTGGAACTCCACACATGTGCACACGTAAAGCCTTAGGGCGATAATATAGTTAGACATAAGTGATAAACCAGTCAAAGTCAGAGTTCACCATGAGCTTCCCAATAAGCAAGTTTTGTCTTTGGACTTTTGCGTAGCAACCCTGCCAAGCAAGTAGGCCTACCAGCAATGACTGTGGTGAAACTGAGCTGTGACAGATGTTCAAAACTAAAAATCACATGACTCACACTATAATTTAGTAACAGTAGAAGGCAGAGTTCTTGGATAGAAATCTAGTTTCCACTTAATAAATAGTGGAAAAACTAAGGACACAAATTTTTTTAATGTCACCTCGTCCTATTTTTTTTTTTGGGGGGGGGGGTTGGAGGATAATTTCAACATGACTCTCATGAAATACCAGTGAAAGTGTATCAAAACAAAGATAGTACGACATAATATTGCAAAAAATACACCAGCATCAAGGAACAGAAAGAATGACATGCAAGACAAGACAGCTGAGGGAAATGGGAAATAATAACACTATATTACCAGACTGGAGAACTATAATCTCTACAGCAAAATTTTCTGAGCAGATATCCAAAGCATAACGAAAATTTTTTTTATGACCCCTTGAAAAACTAAAAATTTTAATGGGCTGAAGGTAAGTCAGACAGATGAATCCATGAAGAAAACAACATCAGATCATTACATCTACTTCCTTTACTTTGCCGAAAACTACTCACAAACAAACCAAAGTAGCCTACTTTTACTCACATTTCTAAATCACATACTTAGCATCGATTTCTCATATTGAACACAAAATTTGGCAAACAAATGAAAGAGCAGCTTTTACCTACAAATTGGAACACCGATCTGAGAAAAGTCCAATTTGGTCACTTCCTAAAAAAAGCTTAAGCTGTTCAAATTATTCCCCAAATAAGGCAGACAGTAGGAAATAAAAAGCACACAAGTTAAAGAAAAAGAAAGCAGCTTTTTCTTTCTGTCTGCTAATCTATTAGACAAAAAGGAAAGACTATTTTTCAAATTAGGCTCAAGGATACTTTACAAAAGGGAACAGATTTAAAATCATTTACCAGTGAAGACAAAACATGAATAAATTACTCATACTTATAAGTACAATTTACACCATATGTACAAAAACATTAAATAAAGTACCATACAAATGTGGTCCACATAAATAAATGCAACCTATCACACATGGCGGTTCAAGTAAAAAAAGAATGAAGAAGACGAAGAATGCAAAGACAAATATAAGAAAATCATTCACATACGCTTTGTGCATTAGTTTTGTTTTGAAAATGAATAAATTACTGACCGCCCATGAGAAATATTCATGATCTTATGACACTCGATCAAGGTTCGCTTTTTAGAGTAAACATGTTGTACACTCACTTAAATTAGAAGATCTTTTAAAAATCCCAAAACAGAGCTTGAAAACGTTGTTTCTAATGACAGCAGCACATCTATAGGCCACACAAAAAAAGCACACAACTCATTTTGATTAATGAGTAATCACTACAAATCTTGCGGCTTTCAGTATAAAGAATGCATACATAATTCATGTCTTTTGTGGGCAGCAAAACCACAAAAAAAGAAAAGTCTATCTACTTTTTATGGAAAGATTGATAATCTGTCAATCCCCCGACATAAAAAAGTTAATGGATGAGAGCTGAAAAAAAGAAGAAAAGAAAAGGACAAATATCGAGTAAAGAGTTGATAGTACACAACACTAGGATGTACTTTGTCCCTGACGCAGTCAAACACTATAACTAATAAACAGATAGTTTTTAGGTGAGTGGTCAATAGGATATGTTCTGGAGCAACACACTATGCCCTTAACTCAAAAAGCTGGCACTGCACTGAACTGAAGTGGTGTTCCTGTAACATCGTAGGTAGATACACTGATGTGACATGATCTTGTGTATCATCATCCTATGTAGATTTTGGAATAATGTAAGAAGCCAAGCCATCATAACACAAATTTACCTCGAAATTTGAAAAAAAAATGTGGGACCATTCTCTTTCTTTTTCAGCAAAAAGTTTAAGTGAGGCAATAAGAAACTGGCACAAAGATCTTAAAGGGCTTAGAGTCATCAATGCGACACAAAGATATAAAGAGAAGCTGGTGCCTTGATTGTATATTTATGAAACCTCTTCAACTCAAGAGGAAATCAAAGAGGGTAAATTCACATGAGGCCAGCACAGAACAGGGTGTAAACTTAAACAAGCAGTAAATTGTCCCTGAAGAGTTCTACATTTCATTTTAGTTTAAGTAAGAGTTAAATGGCAACTAAAACATAAATACATCATATAAGTGCCAAAGATTACAGGTGTTTCTAGAGAGTAACGTGTGAAGAAAAGAAGGAGGCAAGGCAAGAACAAACCATGTTTGACAGGAAAGAAGGAGCAAACCGCACCAGAACATCTGCCAACTACCCACAATTTTACTTTGATAGGTCTTTAATTTACACACAGGGCCAATACATCTTGCCACAAAAAAAACTTTACAGAAGGAAATTCACAAGCATGTACATGGCAGCAAATATCTCACTGACCCTTTCACTTCACAACAAGAAATACAAAACTGACATGAAGTGAGACCCATGAAAACACCAAGAGCTCAAAGCCCCGTCTTTGCTCCACAAATCTCTCCAAAAAGACCCAGCACGCAGAACAACTCTTACTCTTTTATATCTTTCATATAAAAATAAGGATTTAAAGTGTTGCTGGAAAAAAAATGAGAAAGAAAGAAAAGCCTTTCAGCTAACTGTAGAAAATGTAGCTTTGATATCATGACAGGGTTCCCAGTCTTCAAGGAGAACAAATTCTGTTTTTTAAACCTTGTTTTCTCTTGGATTTGTTAACCATCTTCAATTGATTTTTTTAACGTAAAAAGATGACAGAGCAGGAAGAAGAAATGAAAAGAAATGCAAAAAATAAAAAATTGTAAAAAACCTGTGGCTGTGGATGGGTGTCGTTGCTATTGGCTGTCAGTTTGACTCTTGCTCTTGCAGAAACAAAAGAAACCAAAGGGACGCATCACAAGCCTTTGATCCTGATTGTGCATGGCTACACTATATGCCACACACTGCAGCCGATTGTGTCAAGTTTCAAACCTGTTCCATCTTTTGATTTTCTTTTTATTCTCTCATTGGCCTGGGCCGTCACCCACAGCACAAAGCACAGGAATTTTTTAACACCTTGTCAAACTAATGTTGGTCTTACTCCTACCTTTGCACTAACAATGTTTTTGTAAGTGCAAAGTGGCACCGGGTGACTACAAGGGCTCTGTATGCAGGGAGTATTCAAGTCAAACAGCTGCATATGACATGATAATGTCGAGTGTCTAGACTATTTTTTCTAATTTATACACCGGGGAGTTGGAGATGGGCAGGGGTAGCCAAACGGCAAATAAATTTTCAAAAATCGGAATCAGGGGGTGTTTCTATTGTATTTTCATAATTGAAAAAAAAAGAACAATGATTCCGCAAAATTCATAATGATCAGCAGCCCTTTGATTTTCTCGCTTTCTCCTATTTATTTTCGTTTTCATTCATTTTCTTGGTGTTTTCCAGACTGGGAAACCTGAAAATGAAATTTGTGGCTTTTTCCCATTTCCTCTGTTGAGTGGGAACCCTGTCAGAGAGACAACAAAGCACAACGACAACGGGAGGAAAGTATCCCGCTACAAAGATGAATCCCATACAGGTACATGATGCAAGCTTTACACCTTGGAAATGAGAAGATGATGAGGTGACAAAGAAGTTTTCAAGTTCAACATTCCTTTCACCACATGTTGTATTCAATGTCTTCGTTGGCAAACACCTTGAAGTAGCCCAGTATAGTGAGGAACACCACAATGTTCCCAGAGATGACCAACGCACACGCTCCCCACGCAATCTGAAGAGAGAAAAATTAAAATATGTCTGGCAAAGTGAATAAAAAGAAACAAGAACAGGCATAGAAACATGTAATATTTTTAATTTTAAGAAATAACAAAGTTGAGCAGGAGAAAAGGAGGGGGTGTCCTAAAAACACCTCTAAATGATCGCTTTTATGCACAAGGGGGCTATCCCGAAAAATGCTGTTTTGAGAAAATCCAAGGTAAAGTTTTTGCCCCTTGTTCAGTTTCTCTAAAATACAAGGAGAGTTTTCTCTATAACCAAACAAATATACACACCAATGAAACCAAACTTCTCCTATAGGTAGGCCAAAGCATATTTTTGGTGTAGGTCAAGATTTCTGGAAACCCCCAAAATCTGGGTTAGCCCGCTTGTCCTTAAAAGAGACCAAATGATGAGACTTTGTGCATTTTTTTTCTTCTGCACAATTTATCATTCCTGATTACTAAAGTTGAAAAGACAAAGGGAAACAGTTTGCAGGGCTCTGATGAAACTATGACTGGCATAGCAAACTGATAGTGGAATGAATTATTGGACAAAATAATATGGAGAAACAAACTGACAGAAAAATACACTGGTGGATCAAGTCTCTAAAAACCTGACCCTTCTCCAAAATTTCTCTTCAATGGAAAGAAAAAGTAAAAGTAAAGAACAAGATGAATTTAGAAATTTGCAGTCACAGCCAACCTGGGAAAGTCTGCTTTTCTTTGACTTTCAACAATCAAAAGCTTTTTAAAATGTTCAAGCACATAGGACCTCCCAGGTTTTCCCTTGTTTTCGAAACCTCCAGTTGAACAAATAAAACAGACAAAAACACCACCAAGCAATGGTACAAAACAAAGAAAAAGCAAGGTGATGTACAATAAGCAATGTAACTCAAGTACACGGAATGTCTGTCAAAATGAACTAAACAGCAACAGTGGAAGTTTTTTTTTTTATAAGGCATTAGTTTCGCAGTAAAAGTAAAGTTTTAACCCCCCCCCCGCCATGTCTTCACACATCACGACAATCACAACACATCGCTTCCTGATCCTGCTTGAAATAGTGACCACCCGTAACCACCCCACTGTGAACCCTGCTACCAACTACAACTCAAGATGTGCACACTAGGTCAAACAGTTATAAAACCAGGGTGAGCAAATTAACCTTTCCTGTTTTTCCAAAGCACTTTTATACTCCTTACAATCTATGTCAACAACACAATATCTATTACATAGACAATCCCTTAACAAGCACCAATCCCGTAACTCACCACATTTGTGTGAGCCAAAATGATTGGTAAGCCAATGGACGACACAACAACTCCTGTAGTAAAAAAAATGCAGAGTTCTACACAGGCACTGCTGGATGAGTCATAGCTGTTGGACAATCTTCGTCCAACCACTGTGGGCAGCGGAGACAGGAAGTAGAAGAAGAGAACAAACATCGGCCACCAGTTGCTGTTGAAAAAAACAACAACAACGATACTTCAAGGTTGTGCTTCAATTTTTGTCTGTCTTTCAAAACATACAGGAATCAATAAAATGATCACTTTCCTGAACTGCATCTATCTCAAATAAAACACCACATTAAAACAGTCATAAAAAACAACAAAAAGCTAAGATAAAAAATACACTGACAAAGATTTGATCACATGTCAGAGATTTTCTAGTCCATCATGTGACTAGTTGAGCTAAGTGGTGCCACTCAAACACCTTTCTCTCCATGTAAATGACCATTATTGTAAAAGCACAAAGGTACATAAAACACAAGCAAATTGATGCCCATTGAAACAACAAATATGATTTTAAAAAGTGAGGCGCAATGTATTTACACATCACATTTACTTTTGCTTCAAGATGTTATATATTATGACTGATATATGGTTTTAGTTCAGTTTAATTCCTAAAAAATAGTTTTGTCTTTCTCATTACAAGAAGGAAAAAGAAAATTACATGACTTTGGTCTTTACTCAAGGTAGATTTAAGGAAATCAAATGTGGAATGTTTCACGAGAATATTAGGATAGATTACAGTAAAAATACCTGACTGTGTTTGAGTTGGTTTATGCCCAGTGAGGAGAAATATACATGCAGCAGGGGCTGTAAGTGTAAAGGGTGGATGGGTTCAACGGCCCTATAAACACAATTACGTTATTTAAGAGGCCACACATCTGAATTTAACAGGCGCCTCTGATAGAACTGAGCCAAATAGGCCTTGAAAAGTCTTCAAAACAACCAAAGCTCAAGTCCATCTAGTCTGGAATTCAAACCACGGCCATCTGCTCCATAGTCCAGCATGATGAAAACTGAGCTAACAGAACAACCTGGGGCTGTAAGGATTGATGTACACATCCATCAAGTGGAGAATATATATCTATTGGGTCACACCCTTTGCTTGACATCACACATGATAACAACTAGGAACAGGTAGGTCAGATAAAGCAGTTTTTATATGACTCTCCACACTGTATTCCAAATAACTGATCTCACTGTTCAACAGTCACCAGCATACAACAGTTTGCTAGGAATTGAAAAACAAAGAGGAGGTTTGAGAACCTTAGAAAAGTAATCCAATCAACTTATCATCATTAAAAAATGGCAGATCCCTGTGACACATTTCTAGAGCAATTGGTATTATCCATCAATAACAAAACAGAAATATGGTTTCCAAAGGAGACTTATTTTGTTAACATCTCCCATTACCTTATTATGCCTCAAACTAAGGGACCCATATCATAGTCAAGAATGGCCCTACAACTAACCAGGGCCCAAAGTGTACGGTCTGTCATATTGCCTTCAATCAGTTACAAGGAGAAAAAGGCCAACAAAAGATGTATGTATATAAATATACACATTAGTTGAAATTGCATTTATTCTACTCACTTGTATTGTGGAAGGGCACATGCTAAAACAAGAAAAGTGACTCCCAGAGCACAGGCAAAAGCCAAGCCAATCAACCTGTGAAAGCAAAATATCAGTCATATATATACCACATTATAGATATAATATAGAAATACATATGTTGTAAATGTGTGTGAATAGAAGTAATTATTTCCTCAGTTTGACCTATGACCCCTCAGCTAATAACAGTACAAACAATAACAAAGAAGTGAAAAATGGCAAAACTGTAAAGGTATTTAAGAGGTAGGACTTCAGAATTTAATGTCCATCTCCAAAAGGACAAACCCAAATGGGAAACATCCTGTAAAGCACCTTCCTTTCCCATGGACACAAACATCGGATTGAGCTGAGCCTCAAACTCACAGTCTCATGTTTGCGCGTGAAGCAGCCTTACTGCTAGACTACTAACACTACAATAATGAAGTTGTAAAGTCAACAACTACTTGACATCTGTTCTGAACCTGTTTCAGAAACGGAAATGAAAACAGAGGGTGTGAACAAAAAGACACAGAATTTTAGAATATCAATCTTTAAAGAAGATGTGATGACCAAGCCTCTCCAAACAATTTCAGTGAATACAGTCATCATCATCAATGCCTTTCACCCCGGGCAGGGTATAGGCCACATACAAGCTCCTTCCATTTATCTCTGTCCTGGGCCGTCCTTCCAATCTCGTGCCAAGTGAGCTTCATCTCTCTTATGACCCTTTCCACCAATCTCCCCCATGTTTCCCGTGACCTACCCCTGCCTCGTGCTCCTTGTGGGTTCCACTGCAGTTGGTATTGGAGAATTTCTTGGAGGACCTGTGCAGTTTTTCCAGTCTCATAAAGGGTCCTGACATTCCACGATCCAATCCGAAGAGACTTGGACTTGGAAGATGATGGAGGCTTCTGCCCAGCAGCTTCCTTTCCGGTCCGTTTTCACTGCCTCGCATTATAAATTCTCCCTTCGGAGAAGACCCGCGACCAGCCAAGCAGAGATAATGGTTTTCGCTTGTATGTGTTTCTGTAACAGGTTCTTTTTACGGGAGAGGTTGTTAGCCTCGTGACTCAACCCCCGACCTGTAGGGAAAATGACTCTGTTTCTGGAGTCACTACCTGGTTCGCCATTTAGTCGCCTCGAACGACACGCTAGACCACGTCAGTTCTATTCTTTTCAATGCTGGGACTGCACGTCAGGAATACAGTGATGCACGGAAAAGTTTTCTTTTTACAGATCTCACTACAGAAGTCACAGTAACGTGATGCCATGATTATTCACTGTTCTTCATCAAAATATTCCACCATGGTGCTTACAAAATAAAAGTATTACAAACTTCAAAAAAATATTCCACACTTATTCAAAACACAAAATACATCTCAGACATCATTTGTGAATATTTTGCTCACAGAAATAATTCAAAATTAAAAAATAGAAATGAGAATGACTTTTTCCTGCTGATACTGCTCCGATAACCAATTCAAAGCCGAGGTGAACAAATTGAAACAGAAAAACTGATGGGTGGTGATTCAGCATTCTTTGGGGTTTTTTTTCATCTTTCTAAATGTTGTGAGCCACGAAAGTTATGGCCTAAACAGATCTGTTGGGAATTCCATAGGATTTTTATTTCAAAAAGACAACTTCAAAGTAGGTTTGCCAAATTAAGATTTAGAGCTCCACTTTCTGCGATAAACTTGAAGAAGAGTTTTCATCTTTTATCTAGTGACATAGGCAAACTTAACAGGGTATGTAATATTATCCATAGTGTTGATATTAACACTCACTACTACATCATTCAGATGAGGACTTTAGAATGGATTGATGCAGTGACATAATGTGAATTCTGTTTCTCTAAAAGTTAAAAACAAACCACCTAACTGTGGGACAAATACAGAGTGATAATTTTGAATGATTGATACATTCAGAGTATAGAAAAACCACTTACGCTGAACAGCACCAAGAACATTGCCAGGAGAGCACCATGTGGAAAAGGAAAATAGAAAACATAAAAATATGTTGTATTATGTCAACTTTCCCTTTCACAATGACAAAGTTTGTGCACATGTTTACTTGATTTTTTGTTTTAAAATTAAACCAAAAAAATGTTCAGAATAATTATAAAAAGGTAACAGAATGTCAGTACAAACTTTCAAAATCATTATTCAGCGTTTCCTTTGCCTTACATTAATTACATTTCATGCGCAGCTTTTTTTTTCCATTCTAAATTTAACATAAATAAAGCAAAACACTATAGATTTAATAACATTCAGACAGATGTAAAAATAAATTATGGCTTATAAAAAGCAATCTCATTTGAAAAATTATCTCTATATAATATAATATCTGATACCCGCCTCCACCAACCCAATGCAAAGATAAGGTCATCATGCTATAAATGTGACCTTAACTCGTCATGAGATGAAACGGATGTCCGAGGAGCATAAATTCAGAAATTGTCCAGACACAATTGAATGGGAAATCAAACCCTAACTGAATCTGTGTCTATAGGTTGCAACTCCTCTTATCTCCAAGTAGAACTAAGTAGTAATCAGTTGATGTTTCCCTTCTGTTGAAACAGGCTACATCCTCTTTCTCTAACAACCACTAAAAACATACTTACACCAATTCCCTTTTCTATACTGGGTAGACATTGTTACATGATTAACTACAGTTTCTGTGTTTTGAAAAGGAGTGCCTCAAGACTACTAGAGACAGCTATAAATTAGATGATAGTTAATAATAGTCTGTAACTGAGGAAACCAGCGTCTTTGTCTAGATTCTAAATTTTATCTAATCGTAGTAAGTAATTATATCATTTGATACCATTTTGGCAAACATTAATAAAAATAAAAATATGAGTAGTGAATCCTCAACCTCAGGAACTAAACACAACAGCAAACATCTATATTTCTCTATAGTCAATGAAATTGTAGAATCATTGGTCTAATAAAGCGATCTAGTTGTTAAGTAGTTGGAAGTAGTAGTAGTAGTGGTGGCGGTAGTAGGTAGCAGTGCTGTACGATTTTTAGTTTTTTAAAAATCATTGAAACTTCAAAGCGCAATGTCACTACCCATGCTTTTCCAATACTGTGAGCGAATAGTTTTTTCTTATACATGTACATGTAGGCCTAAGGCAAGGCCTAATACTGCGAGTCTATTTAGCAGTATTCTTTATTGAATATTCACTATTCACAGTCACAGCAGTATTCATCCAGTGATTCTCAGTTCAGTGTATGTCTGCTTCTTTACATGCCCCCATGGTTTGTGCAGCGCGTGCAGTGATGAAACATTGGGGGGGTTTTTTTGTTTTTGTTTTTTTAAAAAGGCGACTGTTGCAGAGGGGGAGGGGAGAGGGGGAATAATAAAAACAGGCGACCACTTGTGTCTAGTGTCTGCTTGGAAAAAAAAGGTTGGGGGGGTTGAACAAGAGAAAAACTTTTTACAAAGCAAGCACTGAGCGATAGATCAAACACACGCACATTGTAGTGGAGTCGCACAACACTGATGTTTGCTAGGTCGTATCTTTTGGAGGTTCTTTTATTGGTAGCTTATTTCGTTAATCTTCTCAAATAACTCTGCCAAACAATACTTCCAAGGGCAATATGAGTGTAACATCGTGTATTTTTAGCCTAGCACGGCTTATAATAAAAAATATAATATACTCTTTAAATCTTATCTCTCATTTCATTAGCCCCCCCCTGCCATCCCCCCACCATACCTAGGCCTACCTACAAATTGTATAAAAACCTTTTGGATCTCCCCACGAGTAGGCTATGGTGGCTGGCCGTTTGCCTTGTTGTTTGTTTAGTTTTGTCGTTTTTTTGTTGGGTTTTTTTTGGGGGGGAGGGGGTGGAGGGTTTATCAAAACAGACTGGCTCTAATCACGCACGACACACTGCGATGCGATGACATCACATTCACAACCTTGTGCTTCGAATGTCAAACTGAACAAGGGGAGCTAAGTAAGTCTGTCAATCTACAATTTTAAAAAACAACAATATTCACTGCGCTTCGAAGCGACGGTGGGTACTCATTTTATAAGCTGTACTACGCTCCGGAATGGGGGGATTATTGATTTTTTTATAAAGGTACGGTTGGGGTAGGGGTGGGGTTGAAGGCAACAGCGGATGACAAAAACTGAACTTGGAGTTCTGAACTGCCCGGTTACCGTGTACGTGACACTGAGACTACCTGCCCGGTTGTCGGTTACCGTGTGTACGTAGATATTGAGGCTACATGCCCGGTTATTGTGAACGTGACACTGAGACTACGTGCCCGGTTGCCGATTACTGTATATGTAGACACTGTGACTAGGTACCCGGTTACCGTGTACGTACGTGTAGACACTGTGACAAGGTGCCCGGTTAGGTGTACGTAGACACTCTGTTCTAAAAAAGTGATGATTTTGCGTAGCGCGCTGTTGGCTCTGGCAATTTCCAAGCTCCTTCCCCATATTTTAGCTCTACTCCATTTACAGCGTCCTTGAGTCCAATCTCTTGTAAGTGCTTAAAATTTCTTGTGCTTACAAAACTTTAAAAGAAGGAAGTGGCTATCCTCACCCGCTTGAGAATAAAAATACGATCAACCTCTCACCCCGGGTGAGACTAGCCAGCATTGCTAATTTCGGACTACTGTCTATCGGCGTGGATGATCAAATTGACAAATGCTAAGAAAAAATGACGTTATAGCACAAAAGTATGCTAATTTGATCGTCTATAAAGATGCTATATATGGCTATTTAACTTTTCGAATTGAGCCGAACTACGCGGGTCGCCATTTTGTTTTGCCCGGAAGTTCTCGCAAGATCTACTCCTCCCCTCTCTCCCTGTCTCTAGCAATGCCAATCGGGCTTTCCCGCGAGGCGAAAATTTGGTCCCCGTTTACGGGCGATTTTGCGGACCCGGCCGAAGCGTAGGTGACTAACTTTGTCAACTTCGGTCTGCTCTATTTCCGAACCAATCCGAATGAAACTCGGCAACCAATCAGAAAATAGGGCAAACTAATGATATGTGGACGTTGAAGTTCGTACACATAAATTAACCTATACTTTTGGTGTCGGGAACACTTTCGTATCGTGTACACCGAAAACTATAAGGAGTTTGAATTTCAACGCCCAGATGGTAATAGATCTATCTATCCTCTATAGTGTGCTCAAATTTGAGAGTTCTATGTCAAGTAGTTGTTTAGACCCGATCGTAAATCTACGACTACCCCCCTATCCAAAGCGGCTTCGCACGGAGACCGGCCATTTTCCCCTCACTCTCGTGGCAAATGTATGTCAATCTAGCATGCCGTACAATTAAAAATTCCTTTTCCCTGTTGAGACGCGAGGTTATCTCGTCTCGGGGTGTTCGCGTCTCAACGGGGAAAAGGAATTTTTAATTGTACGGCATGCTAGATTGAATTAACTTATCTTTTACGGTTAGCATGGTCTAAAGTCATCATAAAAAGCTTTGCAATTATTTAGTCACGCTGCGGACATATATTCTTAAAGATCCCATGTTGTGATACGATGCTATAAATAAAATGGACTCATCCCGACACCCCTTTTTCGCAAAATCGTAATATGTACACCACAATTTTAATTATAACAAAATAACTACGAAATTGGTAGTAAATCTGACTGCAGAAATGATTTCTACACTCAAAAACACATCGGGGAGCCAAGTTTCTCTCGAACACTCGGATTAGTTACCGAGATATCGTCGATTTTCTTACAGAATCTGCTACTGCGTGGTCCACTTTTTAGGAGTATTTTCCTATATGTGGGTCATCCATATTTTGCCGACCTTTACAACCCCAAAACTTTTTTATTTATGAATTGATTCTCAAAATTCAAGAAGCATGATTATTAGAATTGAAAATTCTTTCTTAGGTACCAAAAAAAAGGGGGCAAAAGTGAAAATTTAAATTTTCATTGGCATTGCTACTGTCTCTTTCTGAACACTGTCTATCGTCACTATCGATGTGGACGATCAAATGGACCAAAACAAAGATTTAAAAATGATGCTAAAACACAAAAGTAAATTAATTTGATCGTCTACAAAGATGCTACAGCTACAAGACTTAACTTTTCGAATCGAGCCGAACTACGCCTTAATTTGCCTTAGCCTTAAAAAGAAATCGGATCGAAACGGTCGATCATTTGCACTGCGTCGTTGAATTTTGTTTGAACTTGCTTTCGCACCTAAATTGACGTACGCCTACTCTTAGTCTTCTTCTTCTCAGTTTACGTACTGTACGGCATCAGAATCAATCTCTGCGGAAGAAGGGTGCGGCACAAAAACAGAAAACCAAACCGATCAGTTAGTTTTGCAAGTTGCAAAGAAAATAAATAGGCCTAGAGTCTAATAATCCAAGTCGGCATGACTGACAAAGTAGGAATCCCTCAATGACGTTAAACATGATGGCTGTTACACTATAAATATCGCCCAAAGGCGTTTAGTTGTCGTTCTCTAGCTATCCGAGTGGTCAGCGAGTCATAGGTTCAGTGGTCAGAACGATGGAGAATCAGAAGTGTCAGAACGGTCCTGAAACTGGGAAGTTGGGAACTCACAGCCTAGGACAGCCAAACAGAGTACTAAAATCTGGTAGATCTATACAAAATCCTGTCAAACGAATCTGTTAACATCATAATTCATAAATCTACCCTAATCAATTAGGCTTCGTAATAACAACAAAGAACAGAATCATCTACACAAAATTCTTACCTCTGATACCGGCCATTTTGTCAACAAAAAGTGACATCACATCATAACTTCCTGTCAAATGTGAATAAACCTGGATTGGAGAGAAAGAGAGGTCTTTTTCGAAATTTAATGCCAGCACATTCCATTACGGATTCTGAATTATTTTTTAAAAGATGTTGTGAGACCATAAACTCTCTAGTGAGACAAGAAATGAGAATGAGGTGAAGAATACGAAACAGAGCAATCAAGTCTGCACTATTCTGGGTAAATTTTTACTTTCACTCCCGCACACAGATGCACTATGCTTCTTGGGTCAAACTGCAGTAGGCTAACTGTAAAATTATCAAATTGAGGGTTAAAACAGGGGGGGCATTCCCCCCACCCCCCTGTTACCCCCCCCCCCACCCCCAGATGTTCTTTTGCCACAGCGCAGGCCCACCTGGAACCCCCCCCCCCCTCCCCGAATGGTCCAAAGCACGTGTCTATCTCGATTAAGAACAGATCAGATATTAAAAAGACTATGAGATCTAATTTGCGGCGGAAATGAAGTTGATATTCGTGTTCAGCGCATCAATAATTAACAAAAAATTGACAACTGGTAGCTAAGTGTGAGACAGGAGGGAAAGTAAAAAAACTACCCTATTCGACTGTAATGAAAGTGTGAGCGAAGAGCGCTCCTTGGCGCAGAGATAATAATAATAATGGATTGCATTTATATAGCGCATATCCACTTATGCAATGCTCTATGCGCTTAACATGATACATATAATGGATTTACAAATCAATTTTAAAGATACATAGTGTTACATACTCATGCAAACACATATTCACTCACGCACGCACCAGACACATATACATACTCACATACACACATACATACATATGCACATACGCACATACAAACTCACAACGATCTACAGCTTGGATGCATTCTGTCTAATCGAAATATGATGAAAACAGAAATGATTTTAGTTTCTTCTTAAAAATTTCTAGATTTTCTGCTTCTCTGATAGTTTTTGGAAGCCTATTCCAAACAAGTGGGGCAAAATATGAAAAAGAGCGTTGGCCATATGATTTGAATTTTATTTTAGGCTTAACAAGGGTTGTTTTGTCACTAGATGATCTGAGATAAATGTTAGGATGGTAAAACATGGGTAGGTCAAGGGTCCTTGGGGTAGGCTCAAGGCCAAGGGAGTGTATAAATATCACGGGGGAGGCGGGCGGGTCAGAAGGAGTGAAAGAGAGAGAGAGTGAGAGAGAGAGAGAGAGAGAGAGAGCGCGAACGAGAGAGCGAGAGAAAGAGAGAGAGAGAGAGAGAGTGTGTGTGTGTGTGTGTGTGTGTGTGTGTGTGTGTGTGTGTGTGTGTGTGAAAGAGAGAGGAGAGAGAGAGACAGAGAGAGAGAGAAAGAGAGAGCCAGAGACACAGAGAGAGCCAGAGAGAGAGAGAAAGAGAGAGAGAGAGAGAGGGGGGGTGCGAAGGAGTGGTCACAGCGTGTGCTTGCTTTACTCTAGGCGAAGTGAAACGAGACACCAGCATAAAGGGCCTCCGGGCAAAGGTGAATGCTAGGGGCGGTATCGCTTATGATAAATTTTTGAAATTAAGTTTCAAGTAAATATTCAGTCTAATGCAATGTGTTTCTCAACAATAATTTTTAAAAACACACTTTGCCGATTTGGAGGCGCCCTAGAAAGACGATCAGTGGCGTCTAGTGGGGTGGGGCTAGCAGCTTCGGCTCCCACCTTTTTCGTAAAAAAGTTATGTCTCTGGCTAAAATTAGTCTAACACAAAACATTTTTTTTTATGTTAAAAGGGACAAAACATAATAATGTATTCTAATAAAGGTTGAAACTCCCTGAACATCCAAACAGAACTCCTGAGATACAATTGGTAACTCGAAGAGTTATCTGATTGGTCTGGGTGTCTACTAGGCCTACACTATGACTGTAGCTCCATCCAATCATGCGCTTTTATGGCCGGAGAAAATGATAATTTCATTGATATGTCTTTTAAGCCCCTGACGCTTAGGTTCCCATATATACTGAATATCAAGGGTCCTGACCTTGCTTGGGTCAAGGCCGAGACAAAGAAACTGATGCTTCTTGGGCTTGGGAGCTGAATCCGCGCTATGGGCGTGCCTTGGCATGGATTGACTTTTGACCCACTTTGCACAAACTCGTTCTCCAAACCCTAGCCACCCCCTCCCCCCTCACCCCAATCCCTCCCCTTTTTTCCTCGACTCTGTGTGTTTTCTTTAGCGAAGTGATGATTCAATGGCACAAAATATATAAATCTATATTCTTAGATTGTGTGTTGAGCCTACACGTGAATGAAGTTTAGAGCATGTTAACTGTGTACGCCTGTGTTCTGTGTTCAGACAAACAATTTACTGAAAAAAGCGCGTTATTTATTGTATTGTATCAGTGAGTTGAGGTTGTTTAAAACTGGAATCTAATATTTGTTCTTCAATGCAGCAGCAATGTAGAATACTTATTGAAAAATCTTTTTAGTTCTTTTCTGTAAACTATGTGAAGCTTACACCCAATACTAAATATAGAGACCACATCAAACGGTAGAATTTTCGCACCCTGTTGTGGATGGGAAACAAAAGAAATGTTTTCATCATGAATGATTCATCTTGAAGAATTTATTGTTCTACGAAACAGTCATCGGCAAATTTGTTCACATGAAAACCAAAGGACACAATTAAAGTATAAAGACACATTTTAGAGTGCATCCATTATCCAGGCTTCAAACATGGTAGGCCTATTGCCACTGACAATGTTGTAATAATTTGAATCAATTTTTATTTTTACGTTGCCTTATGCGTGTTTCAGTTTCACTGTCTTTTCAGTCTTTATCCATCCTTTATGATTTGAGCGATCTCAGTGTTTGGTCACGGTATCACCCTCTTTACACGTTACAACCCATACGACGTCACCGCCTGCTTCATTCCCTGATACACACACAGTGTATCAATATAATTACACACATTAATAATATTATTTGGTTTTTATAAAGAACTCTAATAATTATAGGTTTGAAAAAAAAAGCAATAGCCCACATAATGACAATTAAAAATTAATTTTTGTCACACACCTTTTAAATCTTGTGTGGGGTGGGGTGGAGAAGGGAAGACGGTAACAATGCTCAATTAATTGTCATACATGTACTGTCGGCCCCAAACAGTCGAGGTTATAATTACAATATATTATAGTGTAAGTCTTCGAGCTAATGAAGGCAGCAGGGTCTTGAGATGTTTCTTGAGGCATTTGAAAAGATACTTTGGTCCCGTAACCCGATCAGTATGTCAGACGGCGATATGTTGGCGACCACATCGGGACAAAGATCCACCCGAGCGCTTCATAATAATTATAACAACGGAGAAGATGGCTTTTGTGGGTGGGTGTGTGTCTGTGTGTGTGTACTCGTGGGTATCGTCTCATGATATATAATCTTGGCCTATCTTAGCTTAGGCCAACCTGGGGGACAGGGGCAAAGTCCTCTTGCAAACTCGGTGCATTAAAACACAATTTGGCCAATCAGAGAGCGCAGCGCCCGTCCCGCCCCGCCCATTCTGCCACAACACAGATCGCGCATGTTGGAGGAAAAGGTTTTATTTTTCATAGTTACGTCCCCTTCGTCGTTGTAGTTGTTAGTTCCTGACCTACGACGAGGCTACAACTCGGTGCAGAAGTCAGATGTCAATCGAAAGAGTTTTATAGAAGAAAGTGTTGCGTTCAAAGTCTTGCTGCAGAGTTTATAAACCATTTTCCCCTAAGTTCTGTTTTTCACAAGACATTTCGAAATTACTGACGATAACCATGGCAAAAGCGATTTTACTTTCTTCATTGTTCAAGTTCAGCGCAGGACGACAGCTGTGCCGAAGTCCCGCTTCCTATGTAAGTTTTTATATTGCGTGTCCAGTTACTTTTATATTAAATTGTTGTTAGATCTCTAGATCTAGTGTTTTAGCCAAGTGTTAGCATCAATGACCCCCCCCCCCCCACACACACACCCAATAAGGGCAATTAGCAACGAATGTGCCGTGTCCCCACTCCCCTCGCCGCACATGGAACAAATTTGGGGATTCTGTCTTTTGCTAGGCCTGTTCAAGTCTCTTGACTTGTGTGCTTTTACTTGATCTAATTCAAGTGCAGCAGCTTGCCTATTAACCTATTATTTTCTGCAGCTGTTACAACAATGATGATGACATGCCATGAGTGGCTCTGATCAAGAGAAGAGTTTTATTTTATTAACCCTATCTGTACGCTGCAGGGTCATTTTGTACCACCAGGGTTGTATTCTACACATTTTAGAATAATATACTTTTCTAGATTGAGAAAATATCTAATCTAGATTCTAGTATGAAGATCTCTGCATAGGGATTGGATTAATGAGAACATTTCTTCTTTGAAAGTGGTAGCACGTGTCAGAGTTCTCCCATGACGGCCATGTCGTATGGATACGACTATAGGAAAAAATGATGTACGGATAGGGTTAATAATAAGAAGACAGTGGAGAGCCAAAAAACCCACATTTTTTTCTCTCAACAGCCAGTTGCTTTGAATCTTCAAAACACTTTTCCCATCGCCTATTAAGTAAGATCAATTCCGGATTCTAGATCTAGAGATATATTCTAGATCTAGATTAGATCTTTTTTTTCTAGTAAATAAAATAAGAATAAGATGGAGAGTGGAAAGGGAGGTTTGGGGTTGTGTGTGTGTCAGTATGTTTTTGTATTGATGCACGTGCGTCTTTGTGTGTGTGTGTGTGTACGTAAACCAGTGAAACGCCAAACCAATGTGTGCCATAGTGCTGGGCGGTAATCGATTCGATGCATCGATACCCTGATACCTTCAGGGTATCGGAATCGAATCGATACTTTCGAAAAGGATCGATATGGGGACTAATTATTCCCAGACAATTCACTGATTCAAGGGATGATACTCTTAATCTTGTTGTTTTCAAGTCCAATCGAAACATCTGGTTAAAAAAAGAAACGCGCTCTTCGCTTACAAATCAACATGGCATCAAGAAAGACTAGTATTCTGTGGGAACATTTTGAAAGGATTATAATCCTTCACAGGTTAAGTGTTTATTATGCAAAAAAACATTTGCATTGTCAAGTTAATGTGTTGATTTTGGGTGCCTGGTGTGTGTATTGGTAAAGAAAAAAAGTTTATTGATCAAGTACAAGAAGGTCTATTAGGTATCGGTATCGAATCGATTCCTTGAAAAAGTATCACTTCGCATCGATTCCTAAATTGTGGTATCGTCCCAGCACTAGTGTACAAGCATCAAGACAAAAATGTATCTCTTAATTTATCTTGTCTTATGATGTCTAGGTAGGCCTATAGATCTATGTCAATGTGGGTGTGACTGTGAGCAGGGCCGGCTGGTGGTTTGTGAAATTTTAACTGACCGGCTATCGTATTCATACAGTGGAAACCTGACATAACAGTACTGGGATGATGGGACCAGAGAAAAAGTCCTGTTATATCAGATCCCTGTAAAATCAGAAATTCAAGGGAAGTAAGCATTTGTGGACTAATCCAGGTGTATTTATTTTATTTTTCATGGGTAGCATAGCTGCTAGAGCTAGGCTTTTGGCTGGATCGAAGTCTGCAGCACACCGCAGCACTCTCTCGCTTCACCCGCTGCATGTGCTTGCTGTGGCGTGGCTTGCGTGGGCTTTCTCCATCACTGCCTTACTCTTTTTCTCTCTCTTTCTCTCTCTTTCTCTCTCTCTCTCTCTCTCTTTCTCTCTCTCTCTCTCTCTCTCTCTCTCTCTCTCTCTCTCTCTCTCTCTCTTACTCTCTCTCTCTCTTACTCTCTCTCTCTTACTCCCTCTCTCTTACTTTTTACACATTGGGCTCCGATGAGGTCCTGTTATTGCCGATAACTTTTAATAGAGGGACAAAGAGTAGGAAAAAAAACAGGGATTCCCCGCTATTATCGGTTCCCTGTTATAACCGGGCCTGTTATATATGGTCTTCACTGTATTAATCTCCAGGCCCCCCACCCTTCCTCTACCCCCAGTCTCTTTGGTCTTCCTCTCACTCCCCCCCTCCCTCCCAAACACATACACACACAGACACATTTTATACCGGTATGTTTGCTCCCCCCCCCCTTTTTTTTTCCACGAAAAACACACACACAAACACACGTAGAGCCCTTGGGAACATGGTCCCCTAGCCGCCATTAAAAATCCTTATTTTACATAATGATAATGTTAACGAGCTGATTTATAAATATTTCTGTTTAAAAATTTCTGAAGTAACAAAGAACCAAGTTGTACCACACCACTGACACTGTCAAAAGTAGACCATGTCTAGGTAAGATCCTAAACAATAGGAATACAATACACTTTACGCATACACACATTGAATAAATCAAGCACACAACTATTTCCTATCGCAATTCTCATAATACTGTATTAAGCGAGAAATTATGTCATATATATACTAATATCAGAGCACTGGGGCTGGGGTGAGAACGGAGAAAAGGGGGAAAAGGGGGGGGGGGTCCAGACTGACAGCTAAGTGCTGTTCACAAGTCAGCCCTCGACTCTCACCTCCGTTAAAATTCCTGTTATATTATATAAAGACTGGCCTGTGGGTGATTGGCGGGTGCTCTGGTGTGGTTTGCTCCTTCTTTCCTATGGAACATATATCATCCTTATCTCCCCCTCTTTCTTTTTTATGTTCTTTACTCTCTTGTAACACCGCTAATCTTCTGGCACTCATATGACCTTATGCAGTTGCGAACGCCGTAAAATCTCTACTAAAACTAAACTAAAGACTGGCCAAACCACCAACTCGCCGGTTGTACTTTTTGGGGCCAGGTAAGGCTGTTCCAGGAAGTAAGCAGTGAACAGAACACCAAACAGAACTGTGGATGTCTCAAAATTCAATTAGCGATAAAGATTTGAGCCATCATGACAGTACATATGTATGTTAACTGAAAGTGACTAGAGACAGGTTTAATGCTAAATTATTATTGATAAAATTATAACATGTACTGTTCAAGATAGTTTTGTCCTTTGTAAGCTCCAGAAGGCCAAATTGGCAAGAAAGGTGATCTTCATGCGGGCTCTTTCCACTCTGAGGGCAATTGCTCAATTTTTAGCCCTGGTTGACATCACCACTGAGCATGCGATATGAAGGTGCGCATCATGACAGCAGCTGAGGTGACAACAATGTTGTGAGCAAGTGAGATAAACTGAGATTTAGGAACGAGTTTCTGTGACAACACATCGGCGAGCCTTTATTGTCTCGTTGAGCGTATTTTTATAGGGAAAGTGATGAATGTTGATAAATTTTGATATTAATTTGGATTTACTTAAAACTGAATAAGAACTATTACCAGCAGCCAATGTCTTGTGCACTACAGTTGACTTAAAGTGACCGGCTCTGCCGGTCTTGCCCAGTTAACGAACCGCGGCTGAATGTGAGTGTTTAAAAAGAAATGCTGTGAAATGAGAACGGAGGGTAAGTTGAAATTAAAAGGTTGTGTTGTACAGGCTGTCGTCTTGGGCAATGCCATTTTATAAATATATAACCCTTCCAGCCCCATGCGTGTATATTTTCAGCAGCGCTTGTACCTCCCACTGTCCCAAGAGCGTATATCTCAGTTTAGGGGGGTACAGAATTTGCGCTTTAAAAAAAATTAGCGAACCTAATTCAGCTTTAATTTTCATATTTTTTCATTTACCTTTAAACATTGTCATATGTTATTATGTAAACCTTATTACAAAGATACTCTATCACTTTTTAGAATGCATGTCTCTTCTTCTGAAATACTGCTGTATTGGCTGGGACTTGGGTTAGAGAGTGCACAAAAATGGCTAGGGCTGGAAGGGTTAATGTTAATCTTGATCACAGAGAACAGCTGCTCACACAAATTAAGATGTAAAGTGCTAAAAGCCCAAACGGAGTGGGCGCTATAGGAATCTACTAATTATTATTATAACTTGTACCTCACGAATTGGCTCAAGGCTCTTTCCGCATGTAGGTGGAGAAGAGGCACCTCTTCAAGCTTTAATCAAATTGACTGTGCGGGCCCCACAGTGTTGTGCTTAACCTTTAGTGTCCCATTACATTGCAGCTCCATGAGTTCCATATCTGCTGAGATGTCCACATCAATGACAAATTGGTTTCAAAACAGCTCGAGATTACTTTGTTCGTGAGCTCAGTTTTTCAATGAAGTGTGCATTTGGGAACACCATGACACTGACTTGGTTCCCATGGCTTTTCAACAAGGAAAGTGAGACAGGTTGCATTGGAATGTTTTTGTCTCCCATAAATGTGGCTTCACTTGAAATGCCTTCACTACATCATGCATTATCAGTGAACAAGTGGTCCTGTCCCTGGAGCTGCTGTTTAAGACATTAGAATCTTGAGTGGTAATGCAGATAGGAACACCAACTCACTTTCCACTTTTCACACGACCAAATTGTGGGGTCTTTTCATTTACTGCTGTCCTTGAACTGACAGATTTTCTGGATTAGATGGAAAATTCATCTTATATCGTCTTGCAGGACGGGATAACATTGTACTCTGGGCTGGATGTGGACGACTTTTGACTTTTGTGTAGTACAGTACAAGAACAGACCTGATCATCCATCAAGTCGATGTGTTCAAAAACATGGGGGGTTATACTTTTACTTTTGCCAGACCCTGTGCTTCCCTCCTCTTCCTCCATCCCTCCCGTAAGAAACACCCAATAAGTTGTTTAGTAAAGATCACTGCAGCTTTAGTGTCAAATGGTTTTGGGTTGGAAAAGAATTGATCAAATAACATGTATTCTCTAAATGAACTTACTTATTGAAAGTAGAGTACAGAAACATGCACATTTGTGTCAAAATATTTTTTTTCTTTAAATTTTCATAATAGTTTGATTGGAAATGCTGTGTAAATGAATACTTTCTTGTGTTGTTGGCCTGCAATGTGATGCCAAGCCATTGTGGCAGTTTGTCACAACTCACAATATACAGTATAGTGATATATGACATCATCAGTTTCTGGGTCCGGGATGGGGGGGGGGGGGGGGGGGTGCATGTGTTTGTGTATGCATGCACATGTGTAGTTGTGTATTGATAGTGTCTAGTTGTGTATAGTGTGTAGTTGTTTTTTTAAAAATACAGTCAAACCTGCTCTGTCACCTGTATAAGACAATCACCTGTATTATATAGTGGAGTTCATGGTCATTTTCCATTTCCTCCCTTGCATATTTTTCACACTATAATAATGTGTGTAAGATAAGATGGTAACCTTCAGCCACTTTTCTCCATAACAAAAGGCTGTCTTAAGACCATTTTACTGTCCCAGTTGTTTTATGCAAGAAAAATTCTGAAATTATGCAAACTGAGCCCAAAAATGTGAAATTATGCCACTCTGTTAATTTTAACAAAAAATGATAAAGGAAAATAATCAGACCAAGATGACCCAAAATAGACAGAGCTGGAGATCCTTTGTTGCTGCCCTAAACGCCAGATGGCGTAACGGGTAGTAAGTAAGTATGCAAAAAATGATAAAATTTTGCTAAATTGTGCGGAGTGCATAAAACCACGGGGACAGATTTTAACTATATTTTACCTGCAAGAGTGTGTGTGTGTTTGTGTGTATTGTGTTGTGTGTGTGTATTGTGTTGTGTGTGTGTGTTTGTGTGTATTGTGTTGTGTGTGTGTGTTTAGGTCAGCTTGGGTCAGTTTGCAGTTGTTAGTAAGGGTTGTTTATTAAACTGTCTGTTGTTCTTGCTCTATAAAGGGTCGAGAAAAGCACGACTGTTCCTATTGTTAAGTTACAGGAACTAGTTTTGATCTGAAATGGAATAACTGTTTGCTCCTTTTTGAGTTCAGGCTCAGGCTTGCTGTGCCTTGTCCTGTTGTCAGATTCGGGGTAGAGGGTGAGGGTGGTAAGGAACAATCTGAAAATACACTTTAGTATAGACTCTTTGTCAATAGGTAATATAGTCGTAAATGTGACTTACAAAAATTAAAATATTTGATTTACATCGAAATGACAATTATCGTACATCAATGCAACAGATGTTCATCAATATCACTAATTAATAAACAGTTTGCATGATTGATGTTCCCTGGCATGACATACATTCATTGATGTGACAGATATAGATCAACATTAATGTGACAGATATTCATCTGCCTGACAAATACACATCAATGAGACGGAACATTAGCATGGAAAATATATATTAAATCAACATGACAGATAAAGATCCTGTTGTGGTGTGTTGTAGTATATCAACGCCCTACGAACACTTGAGAGGGGGAGATAAGGGGCCATTCTTTGGACTCTGATCTCTCAGGGTTTGCTTATCAAAGTCCCTCTTGGAGAATGTGGTTTTTGGTATCAATTGATCAAAGTCCAGATAAAGGTGGGAGGAGATTGAGATAGGGTGGAGGTAAAGTGGGAAGGAGTAAATTTTGGGAAAAGTAAAATAGGTTAGTAGAGAAAACATTAAAAAAAAATTTTTTGATGTAAAAAATATGAAGAGGGAACATAAGAAAAAAAAGCACGACAGAGAAAGAAAATAAAAAGAAAGAATAAAATAATAGGAAGGCGGAGAAAGAAAGGAAGGGAGAGTGGGAAGAGGAGAAAATAAGTAGGGAAACATTCACTGAACTAAATGATCATTTCACAGCTCACTTTTAAAACAACTATTAAGATGTTTGTTTGTACATGTATATTGTATGCCTGTGCATATGTGTATGTATAATATGGGTTTGTGGAGGAATATGCTGGGTTTTTTTTTTTTTTTTGTAAAGTGTTTTACGGCGCTCGCAACTGCATAAGGTCATATGAGCGCACAGGACACACCAAATATTTTCAGTTGTAAGGAAATTTTGAATTTTGCCCGGGTGGCGGCCGAAGCCTACTCTTATCGATTTTAGACCACCAAGGGATCTTTAACGTGCGCAACTTGCACACGGGCCCTCCGAGGTTTTTCGCTCTTGTCCGGGAAGGCTAGGTGTAGATCTTTCCTACCAGAAGATCAGGGGTGTGGCAGAAAGACAGCAGTAAGGAGGAGCCAAGGAGTAGCAGTAGAAAGGCTGCAGAAAGAGTCAGGAGTTCAAAGGAGGGGGCAAAGGAGGTGAGGGGGGGGTGGGGGCAGAAAGTGGAAATGAAAGCAGACAACAGAACATTGCTAGAGAGACAGGAAAGGAGGTGAAAGGAGACAATTTTAGAGCAGAAAATTTTTCGGTCGCTACCTGGATTTGAACCCGGGACCTTTGAATGAGAGGCCAACACCTTAACCTCTAGGCCACGAGAACCCCCTGAGGAATATGTGTAGGCTGTGGTATTAGTATGACAGTTGAAACTGTCTAAGGCACCACCCATTGTTGAGGAGAGATGTGGCTGTCGTACAGTTTCATTATGATGTAAAAGATGTGCGTGGGAGAAAAAAAATAGAAAGTGGCCGTTTGTATGGGTGATTGTTTTGTACAAGTGGCTGTTAAAGATGTGCGTGGGAGTTTGTATGGGTGATTGTTTTGTACAAGTGGCTGTTAGAGCAGTTTCAATCTCTCTCTCTCTCTCCCTGTCTGTCTGTCTGTCTGTCTGTCTGTCTGTCTGTCTGTCTGTCTGTTTCTCTCTCTCTCTCTCTCTCTCTCTCTCTCTCTCTCTCTCTCTCCCTCTCTCTCTCTCTCTCTCTCTCTCTCTCTCTCCCTCCCTCCCTCACTCTCTTTCTCTCTCTCTCTCTCAAGCTCTTTCTCTCTTTCTCTCTCTCTCTCTCTCTCTCTCTCTCTCTCTCTCTCTCTCTCTCTCTCTCTCTTTCTCTCTCTCTGGGTGGTTGAAGGATGTGTATATCTGTCTGTCTGTCTGTGTGTTTCTCTTTACTCTAACAAAACAAAATCTCTCTCTCTCTCACTCTCTCTCTGTGTCTCCCTCCCTCTCTCTCTCTCTGTCTCTCTGTCTCCCTGTCTCTCTCTCTCTCTCTCTCTCCTTCCCCTCTCTCTCTCCCTCTGCATTTTGTTCTTAGAAACAGTTTATATAGGTAGAGATTTGTGATTTGTTTTTAAACCACATTTTGTTTGTAGTGAATTGAATTTACTCTTTGTGACCTTCTGAGTGTATAGAGCTGTGCCGTACATTGTCATCTCATGTCATTCTGAGTGTATAGAGCTGTGCCGTATATTTTCACTTCATGTTGCGTTTAATGTCCTTCTCAGATCCAAGCCCAGAAATTCTCCACATCAAGAAGACGTGATGCTGAGTTCTTCTCATCTGCTGCTGATGCGATCCATGATGTGAACGATGGAGCCAAACTGTTAGTTGGGGGTGAGTGTGAAACTACTCTCTTCTTAAATACAATGCTTGGGTTTGATAGACTATACTCTGAGATATTGCTTTAGTTTACCATCCCTTTTTTGGGGATGTGTGATATTGTGCACTTTATTCCTCCCCCCTCCTGCTCCCAGGTCCTCCATTTTTTATGTACTATTTCTCCTAAAGGTTGGTTATGTAGTATTTCCTTCCAAAGGTCTGTGTCTTATCCATGTAATTTTTTTCCTCAAAGGTCTGTGTAACGTTTTTGTTCAAGGTCTATATGTTGTCTACGTAATGTTTCTCCGAAAGGTCTGTGTGTTATCTATGTAATATATCCTTGTAGGTCGGTGTATTTCTATGTTATATTTCTCTTCAGGTTTTGGTCTGTGCGGTATCCCAGAGAACCTGATTAGTGCTTTGCTGGAGAGGAAAACTCGTGGTCTGACCGTGGTGAGCAACAATGCAGGGGTTGACGATTTTGGCCTGGGACTGCTGCTCAAACAACAACAGGTACTGGGAAAGAATATTTGTCTGTCTGTCTGTCTGTCTGTCTGTCTGTCTGTCTGTCTGTCTGTCTGTCTGTCTCTGTCTCTGTCTCTCTCTCTCTGTCCTCCCCTCCCTCCCTCCGCATATGTCAATCTGTAAATACAGTCAATATTGTCTAAGACAGCCACTCCTTGTCGAAAAGAAAAGATGTTGTCTTAGACTGGTGAATGTCTTACACTGTGTCATTATAGTGTAAAAAATAATGCATGGGGGAGAAATAGGAAGTGGTCGTTTGTACAGGTGATTGCAGTACCTCTAATCTTCAGCACTTATATTAGCGTATTGTGTTGCAAGTGCTGTAAAACTCTTACTAAAAGTAAAAGCATTCAAGAACTGGACTGCTATCCATCATACTACTGTAACCATGTACCCTACATACTGTACTGCCATGCAACACGCTGCTATAACCGCATGTTTTACTACTATATAGTCCTACCACCCTATCATATATCCACTCACCACACTACTATGCACCATATTACAGCATCCCCAAGTACCTTATTGATGATTTAGTAGTTGCATTTACCAGCATAGTCAGTTTTCCTGAATTTACTTGGAAAAAAGTATTGATCCCTATCTGCAATGCTGCTTTTATATTTCATATAAAACTTATAAGTATTAAATTTGATGTAGTATTGTTCTCACCTATCTGAGGACATAGCCATGCATTTATATCACAGCTGCCAACTTTAAATTGACCTTGTTTCCTGATCACTCATAGGGTCTCAATAGATTTTTATTTGTGTCTGATCACCTTGTGCTCTGTTGTTCATTATACCAAGTGTATCATGTCCCTTTTGCTGTATTCTTTATCTTCTCTTGGTAGATGCTTCAGAACAAGTCTTCTTTTGCTATGGTCTTCTGATCAGTTTATGTATAATTTCCCCCTTCTGTGTTCTTCAGATCAAGTAATTGTAAATATTTTGGTTTCCCAAATATTTTAGGGGGCTCTCGTGGCCTAGAGGTTAAGGTGTTGGCCTCTCATTCAAAGGTCCCGGGTTCGAATCCGGGTAGCGACCGAAAAATTTTCTTCTCTAAAATTGTCTCCTTTCACCTCCTTTCCTGCTCTCTAGCAATATTCTGTCGTCTGCTTTTGTCTCCTCTTTCTGCCCCCACCCCCTCACCTCCCTTGCCCCCTCCTCTGGGCTCCTGACTCTTTCTGCAGCCTTTCTACTGCTACTCCTTGACTCCTTCTTACAGCTGTCTTTCTACCACACCCCTGATCTTCTGGTAGGAAAGATCTACACCTAGCCTTCTCGGACAAGGGCGAAAAATCTCGGAGGGCCCGTGTGCAAGTTGCGCACGTTAAAGATCCCTTGGTGGTCTAAAATCGATAAGAGTAGGCTTCGGCCGCCATCTGGGCAAAATTCAAAATTTCCTACCAACGAAAAAGTATTAGGTGTGTCCCGCGCTCTCATACGACCTTATGCAGTTGCGAGCGCCGTAAAACCCTATACTAAACAAAAACAAAAAACAAATATTTTATACCCCCATCAACACAATTTAGACCACAAAGGAGATGGGCTGCTTCCAAACTGACTGTCAGGGCCAATCCAGGCTGAGTAGGATACAAAATCCTAGCAGACAGACTGAGATTCTTGATAAATTGACTTCCCCACTCAATTATCAAATTCTCGTCTTATGAATGTCACGCTGAAGATTTCACAGCTACACCACATATAATGTGTATTGTCTCCCCTTTTTAAGTTCTTCGGATCAAGTGTATGTGATTTTCTCCCTTCCACATTTTTGGTGAGATCAGGTTTATCATCTTTTCTCTCTTTGTTCCTCAGCTATCAGAACAAGTTTATCATCTTTTAATTCTGAGGTCCTTAGATCAAGTTTGCCAACTCTTCATTCTGTGTTCCTCTTCAAACCAAGTGTATTTTCTCTCGTTTCTACATTCTTCAGACCAAGTGTATTTTCTCTCGTTTCTACATTCTTCAGACCAAGTGTATTTTCTCTTGTTTCTACATTCTTCAGACCAAGTGTATTTTCTCTCGTTTCTACATTCTTCAGACCAAGTGTATTTTCTCTCCTCTCTCTATATTTCAGATCAAGCGTATGATCTCCTCCTACGTGGGTGAGAATGCTGAGTTTGAGCGTCAGTACCTGAGTGGGGAGCTGGAGGTGGAGCTCACACCACAGGTAGGCTGTTCACTTCTAGTACTTCTACTTTCCTGCTCTTTTGTCTCTCAATTCAAGCTGCTGTTCAGTGCGTTTTCCTGTGTGTTTGCAGCTGTCATGTATAGTGTTTTGTACAGAAAAGTCTTGTGTGCATTGTGTGTAATTCGCTACCTTTAAAATTATAAAGTTATCTGTCATTTTTGACCGTTTTGAGTTACTGAGATCATGATGTAAAAAATCAAATGTTCTGTCTGCTCTATAATTTTTTTACTTCAGATTTCTCAAAACTAGGTACTGAGCAGATAGAACTTTGTAATTCTAAGATAGCGAATTGCTGGGAATGTCCTGTGTTGCGAGTAAATTAACTAGACATTCTAAACAACTACTCACAACACTCTAATATATCATCAATGATCATGGTGCTGCCGTTATGGCCCAAGTCAGACTTAAGCAATAATGGAAAGTTGCTTGTTCCCCTCTTCACATAGGGCATCAGTTTGAAATAACATTTTTCAAAAGTGCCAAGCTGTTGTTTTCTTAGATTTAGACATTTCTGACATTTTTTACGAAAAAGTATATTACAAAATAAATAGGGTTTTCTGGATTTTCTCAACAGTGCAAAAAATGAGTTAGGCCATATTTTGGCAGCGCTATGGCGATATGCGTTTTTTGGGTGTTTTTTGGTAAGAATTTGTTATCTGTTGTTTGTAATTGTTGGGAAGGTAGGCGTATAGTGTGTGTATTGCATGTATTTATTGAGAATAAGAACTTGTTCTCTGTACCACCTTTGTACTGTCACTGGTTCTCCATACCAGAGGTGAAAGATTTCCGGCTCCTTCCGGAATTTGCGGCTACTTAAAATCATCCGTGGGCCTCCCTCCGGCTACACCGGCCGGACAAGTCCTCCATAGCTGGCATGACAGTCATTTTTATTTCGTCGGCGTGTGACAAATTTTCGGTTAAAAAAAACAAAACATATCTGCCGACGGCCGACACCAGTACTTATGGTAGTGCTGGGTACTATTTATTTTAAAAATCTCCGAATGAATAGGTACCTAGTATTGAAAACATTCGAATGGCCGAAAAAAAAAAAGAGTCAGAAACTAGGTACCGAGTAAAAACAGGGTGACGGGCCAGATCCAGGAAATCGCAGAGACCTGGGAATTTGAGGAAATCTGTAAATTGGCTTTTCACGTTTTGACAGTATGTTTAACGTGAACAGGCGGCTATGGCAGCATGCGGAAGTGTGTGACACCGGGGCTCGATCGGGAATATCAATATCTGCTTTCGTTACCACCCAGAACTTGGCCCGTGATGGTCTGATAACGCAACATTTGTGACATGCAGGTCGTGCACTATAAACGCAGTGTCGCCATGAAAATAAATCAAATTTTTGTCTCTGTGACTCTTGTGAAAAAAGAAAAAAAAGCGTCGTCGGATTGTCAGCTTCTCGGCTTTGTCATCGTGACCGGTAGGTGAACCTGCACGCGTTCGTGTCACATGATAAGGCATCGTGTGAGTACCGGCGGTAGATTCTAGTTGGGGTCGCCAATGTTCATGGCAATGTGGTCTCGGTGGCCTAGTGGTTAGGCTCTCAGACTCGCAACCGTAAGGTCGTGGGTTCGAATCCCGTCAGGGGCCCGATGTTGTGTCCTTGGGAAAGCCACTTTGCCCAAATTTTCCTCACTTCACCCAGGTGGAAATGGGTACCCGGCTATAGACAGTGAAAGATCTTGTCAGTTTGATAGTGTTTGAGCGCGTGAAATCCGCAGCTTGCACTGTATGCTTCCGCGGAAGCTGAGAATGTTTCTGAGTGTTCTCAGAGAGTCTGCTGGGGTAATAATAGTTGTAAAGCGCCTAGAACATGCTTTTGAGCATGGATGTGCGCTATATAAATGCAATTATTATTAATTATTATTATTTCATTCAAAGTCTGAGCGTTTGGAAGCATATGGCTACGGGGGGTGGGGGTGGGGGGAGAATTATATTACTGATTTTTAAAAAAAGATTTTCTTGGTGGGGATGATTGGAAGGCAACACCAGAGGATAAAGAACTTGGAAGCAGATTTTATGGATTTTTTTTATTAGAGCTCTCTACAAAGCGCGCTTTGGTGCCAGCCTTGTGTGGAATCAGGATCCGTCATACCTTGTAAACCTTGTTATTGAACTAAAGTGTATGTGTTTCATGGGATGAGTGATAGTAAATTATAACTATATTTTAGCTTTCTGTTCAAGAGTGGCAGATTTTTAGTGTCACTGCATGTTTACCTCTCTCAGTTCTTACAACTCTCGCACTGAATAGGTCTACTTGAGCCATTCAAGTTTTTACTCTACTTTGAGTTTGAGCAATTATTTTTGTCTTTCAGGTTTATAATATGAATCATGACAGCAAGACTCATTCTTGACAGTCGATTTTCTGGTTCTAGGCCCTTTCACAGGCTCAAAGCAGGATTCGTTTTTGTAATATACAGTCAAACCTGCCGTGACGGCCACCTCTATAAGACGGCCACCTGTACAAATGGCCACTTTCCATTTCCCCCCTTGCGTTTTTTTCTATATAATTTAACTGTGTAAAACAGGCACCTGTCCAACGCAGCCACGGCCACCATATTTTAACACACAACCCCTATCACACTAAGCAATAACACCTGTCTTAGACGGCCTCCTTAGTGACTCCCGTTACGTTTTGTCATAAATTATACATTGGCCCGTGGCATTGTGGGCGAGCCATCATAATTCAATCACCTGTGGTTGTTGTTAGGTAGTCCCTCCAACCGGTCTTGTTGCGTAGGCCCCTCCCACTGTTGACCAATAGGTATCAAAATTCCAGCTGCTGGTGAGGTAAGAGTGTGATCCGTCATAACCCATAAGCCCCGACTAGAACTCATACACAAATTGCAAGTGAGATGAGTGGTCACTGTTTACCCAGTCTGTAACAAAGTAACAAAGGACGTCAACATGAACTTGCGACAGAAACGTCGCTTGTTCTCCGAGTGGTGGCGACCCATGTGTTTGTTTTAACATGGCACTCGGTCTTCCTCGTCTGGTACATTTCGTTTTATTATCACCCTTGGGCAAAATCAGCAACAACAACAACAAAAAAATTACAAACAAAGTACAATCCAACAATAACATCAACAACAAAAACAACAATGCGGCCACTTTCGATTGGGACCTCAGATGGAAATGGTTTGTTTTCTTCATCTTGATCAGTCCTGCCTAAGACGGCCACCTGTCTAATACGGCCACTTTTTTCCTTGACAATAGGTGGCCGTCTTACACAGGTTTGACTGTAGTTTATTATATATATAAAATGATGGGGGGAAATATAAATCAGAAAATATGTAACAAGTAAAAATAGGAATAGACTGAAATACATAAGTCACACAAGACTCCAGTGCCACACTGAAATTTTGTTGACAGGAATCATGTATAATGTTGGCTACGTACTTCTGTGTGTGTGTTTCTGTGTATTATATATGTAAATGGAGCATATGCTGTCATTGTTATGTAACATACCCCCTGGAAAATGGATGGCACCCGTGGAAAATTGAGAAGCCTACCCCATCCTCCAGGCGGCGTGAATTTACCATGAACTTTTCAGGCTGTCCGTTCTCTAACAACAGAATTTTCAGGCTAAACTGTCTCTTGTCAGTTTCACCCATGCTCCGTACTTATGTGATGTCACTGGTCCTCTGTACAGCGGAATCCTGTTATAACGAGAGGGAGGGGGGACTGGTGCGAAATCTCTGTCATAGCAGGATTCTCGTTATAAGAGATCCAGTAATAAATTCAAGGGAAATAATAAAGTAGGCCTATTCTATGAGTTTTGTATGGTAATCTGTTTATTTCTTTTTGTTATCTTTCCTGATGAAGAATTTGTTCAACACAACTTCTAGGTTTTACTTGATCAAAAATTGAATCAGGTTTCTTTCTCTAGCGCTAGCAATGTTGACAGCTCAGCGTTGGCAATCAGAAAGGAAAGGCTCTAGGCTACCTTGCGGGTGTTGTCCCCCACCACACCACACCCTGTGGTGCGTTCCCTCTGCTTGCGCACATGGGTACACACCACACCCTGCTCATGTCACACATTCGCTCCATCCATCATCACTTCACTGTGACCTCCCCATCCCCGCATCAGAGAAATGAGAGGCATAGTAAGCCTAGAAAATGTAGACTAGTCTGGCCTATCACATGATGCGTACTGCTTGTCTGTGCATGCCACACCCTCCCCATTCATTCGCTCCGGCCTTCTTTGTTGGCACAGGTGAGATCTCCCATTCTTTGTTTCGCTAGATCACCAACAAGTTTCTCAACCGGGGAGGTTTTACATATGTATAATTAGCCTATGCGCTGCGTACAGCAGCAGCAATATTCCGCTATAACCAACTCGCATGTTTGTCTGATTGCACTTATAGCAGTATTTTATTTACAAAGATAAAGAAAGGGAAAAAACAGGGTTTTAGAATAGGGTCTTAGTCTTTATAACAGACTTCTCATTGTTTCAAGACTCGTTATAAGTGGACTCCACTGTACTTGTGTGATGCCATCGGTCCTCCTAAATTTTGTAATGTTTCTTGTCCACCCTTTTGTATGATTCTGGTCCTCTGTACTTGTGTGATGTCGCTGGCCGACCGTACATGTGTGAAGTCACTAGTCCATTACACCTGTGTGATTTGGACTATACCCTGAACCTGTGCTTGTCCTCAGGGCACACTGGCAGAGAGAATCCGGGCTGGAGGTGCAGGTATCCCAGCATTCTTCACTCCCACAGGCTACGGAACACTGATTCATCACGGAGGGGCCCCCATCAAATACACAACTGATGGCAAAGTAGAAATCCCTTCAGAGGCTAGGGAGGTGAGTCTTCGGCATCCCCCCCCCCCCTCTCTCTCTCTCTCTCTCTCTCTCTCTCTCTCTCTCTCTCTCTCTCTCTCTCTCTCTCTCTCTCTCTCTCTCTCTCTCTCTCTCTCTCTCTCTCTCTCTCTCTCTCTCTTTCTTTTTCTCTCTCTGTGTTTATGTCTCCCTCTCTCTCTCCCTCTTTCACATAATATATACTGTTGAACCTGGTGCAATGGAAACCTGCCTAATATTTTAATGAAAAGAGAAATTCCTTCCTAGTGGAGGAAATTTGTTTGCCCTCTCTGCCCTAATTTGAAACAAAACTATAAAGTCTGGTTTCATCGCTTCTTACCTTTATGCCATGCCGCCCGGTGAGGAAGGGGAGTAGGGGTGCAACTTTGGAGTAGATGTTACCCTATCCATGTGAGCCCTGAGTGGTGCATATGGTCAGGGTGGTGTGGATGGGAAATCGGACAATTATCCGTGAAAATGCTCCAGTGATGCTCTACCTCCGAAACTTTCCTAGATAGCCAGAGGTCAAAGTTGCAACATTAGTTGGACGTGCCTGCCGGTTTGACCATACAGCCAGCAGAGAAAAAAGTTCCTTTAATCGTTGTTACATGCACGAGAGCGATGGTATTTGTTGACTGTACTTATTGCACGATGGGTGGGGCTAAGAGTTGAAGCAAAGGAGATGTTTTAACGTTTCTGTTTTTAATAGATCAAACTGATCCTATGAAATACAAGCAAGAATGGCAATGAATAAGTAGGACTGATGCATGCCATCATCAGAGAAGCTAGGATAGCACTTGAGAGCAGTGAGGTTTTTACCACTGCTTGCTGACTAGACACTTGATCTCACTTGCTGTGCTTCTGTAATTGTAATCTCCCTCCATCACCCCCTAAATTCCCTGTCTAAAATGGGAAATGTCTAATACAAATTTCTGTTTTACGCAGGTTTGACTAATATGCATTGCAGCTTACAAAATGTCTTCTATTGTCTGTCTCTCAGTTTGTCTTTCTCAGTCTTGTGCACAACACTGTTTCTATCCTGTATCACTTTTAAAAAAAAAAGTGAAGTGTTTTACGGTGCTCGCAAATGCATAAGGTCATATGAGCATGCGGGACACACCAAACGTTTTCAGTAGGTAGGAAATTTTGAAATTTGCCCGGGTAGCAGCCAAAGCCTACTCTTATTGATTTTGGACCACTAAGGGATCTTCAATGTTCGCAACTTGCAGACGTGACTTTTGACATTTTTCGCCCTTGTCTGAGAAGGCTAGGTGTAGATCTTACCTACCTGAGGTCAGGGGTGTGGCTGAGAGAAGACAGCAATAAGACGGAGCCAAGGAGAAGCAGTAGAAAGGCTGCAGAAAGAAAGGCTCTCAGGAGCCCAGAGGAAGGGGCAAAGGAGGTGAAGGGATGGGGGCAGAAAGTAGAGACGAAAGCAGACGACAGAACATTGTTATAGAGCAGGACAGGATGTGAAAGGAGAAATTTTTAGAGAAGAAAGTTTTCTGTCGCCATCCGGTTTCGAACCCAGGACCTATTGAATGAGAGGCGAACACTTTAACTTTTAGGCCACGAGAGCCCCCCCCCATATCTCTAAACTGTAGTTGTTCATTTTTGTCATTACTCCTCTAGCTTATTTACTTCTCAGAAATTTTCCACCCTCTCTGGTGAATCTAGTTCTCTTCCCTTTTCCTTCTTTCTTTCCTTCCCTTCCTTCTTTCTTCTCTCCTTCCCTCCATTGGGTACGATATTGATATTTTCAAATAAGAAATATCAATATATCAATATTTTTTTATAGGACAAAATTATTATCAATAAACTGAAATTCGCTGTCAAATATATCGATATTGATTCTGTTGGGTCTAGATATATAAGTACATGTACAGTGCACTTTTCTTAGAATAGTAATTCTACCCTAAGCTGACAAAACGCCTTTTAAAATTTTTGGCACCAATATTTTTATTTCTTTAATCGATAACCTAATCAGTTAAATGTACCCTACTTGTGTGAATATAATCAAAGTGAAACTGTGACTAGTTTGTTTTTAAAAAAATTAGCATTCAAATTTCAGAAGAATGCCTTTCTTAAATTAAATGGTTCAGCTGACAAAACACCATTTTATCTAGAAATTGCTGTGAATAAGAAAAATGTTTTGTTTACGTATGGTAGTACTTATATGAAGGTTACAGAATTGGAAGCAACCCCCCCCCCCCCCCAAAAAAAAGACACAACAACAGAAATGAACCCAAATAAACCAACAAAAATCAATAAATGTATGCATGTAAATAAAAAAATAATAAATGTTAGGAAAAAAACAATAAGCAATTCGACAAAAAAACAACAACATTAAATGGATGTATTTAGATCTAGATAAAAAAAAAAAAAATTCGAATACATTTGAGGGAAAAACAAACAAACAACCCCCATTGGAAACGCCGGTGCAGTTTGAATGCACTGTTTCTCAAGACAACATTTTACGTCTCTGCTGATTTCAGCGGTCTTCTCCGCATAATAAAAGCGTCTACTCGTTTTATTGAATGTAACGGCGCCCTGTCTACACAAATGTGTGCACTCCTTTACCGAGAAACATTTAATGGAGAAGAATGGCCCTATCCGTATAAAGGCTTGTACTGCTTTATTTCACCGTGCGACTGTTTTGTCAGTATGAAGGTGTGCACATGTTGGGTTTTTTTTTTTTGGGGGGGGGGTAAAGTTCAAGTCCGCCCGTGTGAACAAAGGTACATTGTGTATTTTTGTTCCAGGTAAACTCCAGTCTAACTTTTTAAAAGCGAAGCCTGTGCGAGTTACCGTTCTTCACTGCCCAAAATGGCGGAGTGTTTGTCATCTGTTGACGCACGCTGAGACACAGGGAAAATTGTCTGATCAATATTCTATTTTTATCTGATTGCGTCCATTATTTATCATCACAACTCCGCGATGCCGATGCGAGACAGACTGGAAGAGCTGCACCAGCAGAGAGAACTCTTGGACAAAGGCGAGAAGAAACCCGGAAGAGACTCGAAGAAAAAGATGGACGGGGGAAAAACAATGCAGTCGTTTCTCGCTGCTGCGAGTAAAGTTGAGGAAAACTTAACTAAAATGAAAGATGATGTTGCTGAGATTAAGAAGCTTCAGCAAGATATGTTAAGCACTCCTTTTCCTGACAAGAGCAATGTAGTGAAATATGAATCCTTAGGAGAGCAAGTCCGGCACGATGCCACCAAAATTGGTGGTGCCCTGAAAGAACTGGAGAAAAAATATGACATCAAAGACCTGCCAGATGATTCAGCGTTCAAACGTATGAAGACTCAACAACTTGGAACTCTCACAGCTGAACTGAATATATGTACTAATGAGTATTTCAAAACTCAGGCTGTGTACATGGACAAAATGAAAGGTCGTCTTCGGCGACAACTGAGTGCTAAAGGTGACGGTGGAGTGGACGAAGAAAAAATCAATACAATTCTTGATCAGGATGCCTATAATGTTTTCACGGACAATTATATTGGAGATGTTCATGATGCAGAACAGACTTTACGTGATTTAGAGGACCGTAAAAAAGACATTATGAATTTAGAAAAAAGTGTGTCGGAAGTAAATCAACTTTTCAAGGACATGAATTTGTTAGTGACAACTCAAGGGGAGACTCTAACTACCATTGAGGAGGCGGTTGAGGGTACGGCTGTTCATGTGGAAGGAGGCAAACAACAACTTGGAAAGGCAAATGAGTACAGGAGTCGGGCAAGGCGGAAGAAATTTTGTATTTGTGGAATTATTTTGATTGTTTTGCTCGTTATTGGAATAATTCTAGCTATTATATTCACTTCCAATTCTTCCTGAAGTTTCTGTTTCTGAACTTGTTTATAATTCTATTAGAAGGCATTTTAAAAAATTGATTGAGGTTGTTTTGTATCTGGGTACCTCTGTTGCTGTGAATGAGGTGTGTGTGCCTCTAACTTCGGATATCGACTTAGAACAGTCAGAAGTCTGAGGCTTTGACATCATTGACACTGGTAGAGATAATTTTGGATGATAATAAAGGTTGTCCATGTTATTGGATCTTCCAAACTAACTGCTGATTTCATCATCAGTGCTCTAAAGATACTCGACGTGTTTGTTTGTTTTTGTTTTGCTTTTTTGTTTCTTTTATTAATTTTCAGCTGAAAATGAGTTCTTTAAGCTCATAATTGGCATGCTTCAGATTATTCAGAATATTATTATAACGGATGTTTAAATTGCTGAAATACGATGTGCTAGGTGTATTTATTTATTTATTTTATCTCATTCCATCATGTGCATAGTTTCCTGGTGTATTTTGTCACATGACATAAATGAATTTATTTGGAAAGTAAAAGCTTCTTTTACCTCTTACCAAAACTAATGATTGACAAATGTTTGCTTCTAGAGGTAGTTTTGAAGTGTAATCAAATGTAATTGTAATGAGATAATGAATGTCTGCTGGCTTTTTATAAATAATTTCTATGGTAATGTTACAGTAAAATGGGCAGTTTCATCAGAATTATCACAAGGATAGTGTGCCTCATTGTGATTGGTCTGAATTTAAAAAGAGACATTATAATAGAACATTTGACATTTGACAATCTCTCTCTTTCTCGCTCTCTCTCTCTTTTCCCTCTGGCACTGTGACATCATAAGTGGTCGGCGATGCCAACAGCACTCAAGAACTCAATGCTCACTTGAGGGTCTGAACATTGCTGATTGTGGGGTGACAACGTTAGACAATCTCAGGTTATAGAGTAGGAGAATGAAGCGATCCCTTGAATTGTATATTGTGAGCTATGCAAATGAACTTTTGAATCTGTTGACTTACTATATTGTTACTAATAACTATTGTATCTGTCACAGGGGCATAAAAATCTGATCTGAGGGCCACATCCTGGGGAGTTTATCTTAAATTTCTTCTTTTTCTAATGTGGATAGGATTAATAGGAATTATTAGAGTTCTGGCGAAAATGGCTTCGTCTTGATTTCCCCTTGCTTGGCTTTCGCAAACTTGTAATTTGTAATAACTAGGATCATATGAGTATACATTTTACTATACTTGCATTCAAAATGGGGACAGCAGATTAAAGGGAAATATTTTGCCTTTTGAACGCAGATTGTTTCCCACTGCTCATTTCATCCCTGATATTCTGCTACATTCAAGTTCAAGTGTTGTTCTTTTTGTTCTGATCAGCCTCTGATTTACTAAGGACAAAGCTGTGATTTTAGAGCAAAGCTCAAAGGGGTACCAGTTCTCCAGATGGTACGTTGCTTAAATGTACTGCAGATGATAGCGGTTGTGATCTTAGCACTTGAACATAGGTTGTTAAAACTTATTGAACTTTGATCCCTCACCAAATCGGGATAGAAGGTTCTTCGGAGCTCAACCCTGATCTTTATCATTGTCTAGATAACTTTGGGACTTTGTTTTTTTGTTTTACACACAATAGCCTTAAAACCAGCAAACATACAGATCTGTTATAAAAAGAAATGTAAGGATCTATTGCTAAACTTCTCCCCTTTCAGGAAACCTTTGTATCAAGCCATTCTTGTCTAGAAGATGTAATAAACTTCATTGGTTGAAGAATGTTAACAACTGTGTCAGTGAATGTGACCATTTTATATCTTTTCAGAACTTCAAAATCAAGAAGAAGAATTTTTTTATGTCAAAAAATTATATAATTGTTGTTATATATTTGCTTTAAATTTGGTTTATGGAAAGTACGCCTATATTTCAAAGAGGTCTAATATTATATGCCAATTCTCTATCCCATATCCTTTCATGGTTTATTTGAATGAATTTTTGCACTCACTCAAAAGATACCAGGGTAGGGTGGCTGTTTTTTGTTATGGCTCTCAGCCCACTCATCTTCAACATCTTGGTCCTCTCAGAGATGGATATATTGCATCTTTTTCAACAGCTAGTTCTGTTCTGTGTTGGAAGTTGAGAATCCCACACCTTGTCGCTGCTTTACCTTTACCTCAGGGTAACATAAACAGTTTCTTGTTGAATTGCTTTCACCATACTCACATTTAAATTCCCATTTTGATCAACAGTTAGGTTCAATTTTAATAATTAATTATGAAAATGCTAATGCTCAAAGACTGAAGCAAATGAATAATACTGTAATCTCAGTATGGTTTCCATGTTTTCGAGTAACATGAAGTTGGTATGCTTGATTTAGTCCATGTCCTCTGTTAATATCTTGTTACTCATCATATGATTTCATGTGTTGTTACCGTGGGTAAGGTATCACTATCATTTAAAAAAATGCAAGCACAGATATTTACTCAATGAATGAATGTGAGGTTCTGAACTGTATTTATAAAAATGATTAACTCATTCCAGTCGCACCCAAATCTGTCTGAAAGCACCCTGTGCCGCACTATTTTGACCATATTTCCACTGACTGTAGGAACAGAATATCTTTCAACCCACAAAACCCATACATTTTTGTGATTGTGCTTGTATCCCCTCTCAGAATATCAGGTTGATTTTAGTGTGAGGTGATACAAACAAATATTACAGCTCCTGTTTGAGGGGGGAAAAAACTTGTTTTCTCTCAAAATATTGTTGAACAGGGTGCTCCCATGACTAAAAATCATAACTTGATAAAAACTAATAACAAAAACCTGTTGGAAATAAGTCTTTCTGCTGCAGTCTTCTTTTATCTTTCCATAAATAACATTCAGTGAACTCATGGTGATGTTGACATTATGTTCCCTCTCTCCTTCAAACTTGAAAAGTTTCTGAGACTTCACTCAAATCTTGGAGTAATTATCATGTCACTGAATGTTATTATCAAAACATGTAAGAAAATTGTCTTATATGAGTAACAGTAACATACAAACACATGGTAAGAAACTAACATTATAATGCTTACTGGAACTTAGAACACAAAGATTACACCGTCTTTGAGCTCAGTTGTATTCACAAACACAGGACAATGAAAACACGCTAATAAAGAAACTTTGCAGATTGATGGCTATTTTCAGTTTGCAGTGGCATAATTCTTCACAGAATGAGAAATTTCCATACAGGGAGTGGTACAGAGGGCCACCTTGCAGAATTTGCACTGTAGTGAGGTAACCTTGCGTTTGTTCTTGAGCTCGTTTCTGTCCGCACCCCCTGCCTTCTGTTTCGAATAGCACACGTGGCATGCCCGCTGCGATTTCTTGTTGTTCTGACCCACGATTTCCTCCATGAAATGGCGACCAGTGAGCCTGTCAGCATTTCCTGGCTCAGCAGCAGCTACTGTATGAACTGCAGGATCAGGGCCTGCATTGCTGCTTTTGATGAGGTCATTTGCTACACAAAGGGTAAATCCCTTAAAGGCATTGTTCTTTTCCACTGAGCCCTTCTATGCTTATTGTACAAGCAATGTGCCTGTACCATTGCCAGTGTGAGAAGTGGAGTGCTAACTTCTTCCTCCACTTCACTGTTTTCCTGTGCAGTGGCATGTAGCTGAACATCTGGTCTGAATGGTCGACCCCAGACATATACCTGGCGTACTCTGCGACAGCAAGCGGCTTATGTTTTCGCTCAGTGCGGGTGACGATGTCTACCATCACAAGGAGGTGCTTTGTTGTTAAGACATTGACATCTCTTTTGTCTTACCAGTGGATGGCCACAACCTGTTTTTTCGATGGTAGTTCATCTGGCCTGGTTGGAAGGGGTTCAGGTTGAGATCAGGGGGCATGCCGACCCGATTGGATCGGACAGTGCCAACAACATTGGTATTTTCAGCCACTAGTTCAGCGGCAAGTGTTGGGTTGCAATAGTAATTGTCTATGAAGAAAGATCTCCCTTCATTTGCGAGCGGTGTCAACAGACGCCTCACCACATCGTGTTGGGTGAATTGCTGAGATTCGGACTGCTGCACCAGATTTCCATGTACACATAGCCGGATTCACTTTTACAACGTTTGTACATTTTTATTCCCCACTTCACAGGCTTGTCCTTCATGTAGACCCGCAAAGAAAGCCTTCCTCTCTAGGGACACATGGCTTCATCAATACAGATATTTTCTCCTGGAATGTACACTCTTTGAAAACTTTCTAAGAGACTATCAAAGAGCGGTTTGAGTTTGTGTAGTGGAGTATCATCTTGAACCGTGCTCGCTTCATGTAGCGAGACGCAAACGTGCTGGAGAGGACTAGGTTTGTTGACAAGTAGTCGTTGATCTCAGGTTTGTGGACGACTCCCATGTGGACGAGAATGGCAAGAAAATTCCTTATCTCACCCTCTGTCACTGTTGTCCACTTACGAAAGAAACTTCTTGGTGACACGTTTGGATTTTGTCTCAGCGCTGCAAGGCAGGTTGTCGCTGCGTACGTGTTTGTCTGAGATTTCATGTTCTTTATCGCATCATCTGTTATAAAGAGTTTATAAAAATCAAGCTGGGTTGCGTCTGGGTCCATATCGACCAAAAATCCAGAATTGCTGCAGAAGGACGTGTTCAGTGGGTAACGGTTCGTATTTCTCACCCAGTCATTCATATCACCATCAGTCACATTCTACAACAGTCTATTCATGTGCTGTTCAATGTCACTTTCATCAAAACCATCTGAGTCTGGGTCAGCAGCACCAGGAGTTTCCTCCAGTCGGACAGAAGAGTTCGATGAATCTGAGCCACTATCACTAACATCACTGACACTGTCACCCTGGCTCAGGTTTTCATTTTGCTCTAAATCTGGCTCTTGTGTCACTGACACATTGTCCCTTCCATTATCAACATCAGTATCAGTATTATAAGGTTCTTGATCTGAGTTCTGAGAGTGCAAATGAACAGTAGACGCGCCACTTGCCAACGATTCTGCTTCAGAGTCAGAGCTTTCAGAGTTACCACTGTCACTTGATCTAGCAGGGACACTGTCTCGTTCGACCTCAAAATCGACTACCTGTTCTACACTTTCATCCCTTTCCTGAACAAAGCTTTCATCCTCTCTCTTTTCAGCATCATAGGTTGCTATGTCCTCAGAATCGGACCCATCGGCCATAAATATCTCGACAACTTCGGCTGTGGTGAAGTTTCACTTCTTCTACATGATTGTTCACGTCTTGACGAAACAGTGGAAAATGGAGGGATAGTGGGGTCTCTTACAAAAACTTTTTTCTTTTAGTATGAAGAGCTCGCTAAAATACAGGGGTTGTAAATAAAATGTACCAAAATGGTTGGTAATGATATTGACCGTATAGTGAAGTTAGAGTGCCTCTCTAGAGGGCAGCGATGACTGCCGCATTATTGTATGCAGCACGTCGGGGTCGCTATCTTACCCTGCCGCATAACACGACTGGAATGAGTTAATGTCGCCCATTTCCTTCTCTCCGTGTGCCTGTGTGTGAGAATTACTTTTCAACTGATAGGATGTTTGCATGTGATGTATGCTGAGATAATTGTCATGTAATGGGAAATCCTAGCGTCTGTAGGCAGACAAATTATCCTGGACGTTTCTTCTATGCTCCTTTGAATTGACAAGTTCCATTCCTTGAAGTTAACCTTTGGTACATCCAAAGAATGGCTCTGCTACTCACATTCTTTTCTGTTTCGTTTAAAATTGCCTTGTGCTGTTTTGTAAAAAACATTGTGGTGCCTTACTGGCACACACATACACACACTACAGCTTAAGCTTTGCCTTGACATGTTTTTTTGTTTTTCTTATGGTGCCTTACATGCATATACTCACTGCACATGTTTCTGTGGTGTGTGTGGTGCCTTACATGCATATACTCACTGCACATGTTTCTGTGGTGTGTGTGGTGCCTTATGCCTCTCAAGCACACATGCACACCACACACTTTTGTGGTGTCTTACACTTACAAATTATACTCCCTTACACACATGATGCATTCAGTTACGCAGAAAAACACACTATGCATTTCTGTGGTATTTTTAGAGCCTTCTGCACATTCCACACAGCCATGCTTTTCAGAAACCTGTGGTCCTTTTCTCTGGAGCACGATGGTGTGCTGTCTAGTACTAGTAGTACTGAGTTCTTGCCTGTTAGAGAGATTGGATTGTGGGATAACTCTACTGGTACAATGTACATCTTACCTCTTTTGTTTTCCTCTGTTATATTTCTGTCTGTTCATCTTGTTTTTTCCTGCACTAAATACTGAATGGCAGTTTTCGTCTTGATGTGCTATCTCTTTTCTCAAACAAACTGAAGAAGAGAGAGAGAGAGAGAGAGAGAGAGAGAGGAGAGAGAGAGAGAGAGAGAGAGAGAGAGAGAGAGAGAGAGAGAGAGAGAGAGAGGAGAGAGAGAGAGAGAGAGAGAGAGAGAGAGAGAGAGAGAGAGAGAGAGAGAGAGAGGAGAGAGAGAGAGAGAGAGAGAGAGAGAGAGAGATTTAAATGATCATGCTTTTTTTTCTTTCTGACCCTCAATTATTTTATATATGTCATTGTCAGTTATTCAATTTTTAATTTGGCCTCTATGCTTGAAACTGTGGTTGAGGCCCAGAGGCTTGATAAAAATGGTTTTGCCAGTGGTGCATTTCTATGTGAATGGAGCTGCTCTCTCTTTTACTTTCAGGAAAGAAATGTATTTGTCATTCTTTGTATACTATTTATTATTGTGTGTATTGTTCTTTTGAAATCTTAATTTTGTGTCTTGTTAGAGGTCAAATTTAAAGGATTGGCTGACTTCAAACTCACTCTATGTCAGTTCTAGGTGAATAATAGAGCTCCACTGCCATTCATGGTGCAGTGGTTAAACTGTTTGTTGTATGCTGAAGAAATCTCAATCATATATGGTAGTTATGCTTCATTTCATCTGGATTGGCCCTCACAGGAAGGGTCCAAGCAACCCACCTCCTGAATTATCTTGTGTCAACTGGGGCATAAAATATTTGCATTTATAGATATATGTTACTGTTGTAATAATAATTTGTTGAACTACACAAGATTTTCTTGGCTGTGAGTCTTTGGGTAGAGAGAAGATTCACATATTGTGGGGGATTTGTAGTCAATAGGGTAGTGTCATTTCCCCCTCCCTTTCCTCCCTGACCACTGGTGCCACTGTGCTCCATGCTACCTACTGCACTAGTAAATGGCTAGGTCTTGTGTGTGCTTACAATGAGAACTCTATGCGTATGTGAAATCAAAAGCTGAAATTCTGCCCGAGGGGGAAAAGCACAGTAATGTACATGTATCACTCTCGGTTATTTCAATCAGGGCTTCTTGCGGGGGGGGGGACTATGTCATTCAGTCGGAGATGTAGATTATGTCCTGGTGAAAATGGTGTTGTTTCGTGTCTTGACATAGATTCCTGGGTGTAACAAGGGGCATGCAAAAGTCTATTCTCCTTTTATGCACAATTTACACACAGAGGTTTATGTTTGACACACGTACTGTTATCACTGTGATATTGGACATTCGTTTTCTCACAATAGCTTTAATAAGTCACAGGGTTGGGTGACCTCTCTCTAGTGGAGGAAAGCTACAGCATGATGACAATTTGATAAAAAGTAAAGCAGTCTGATAAAATAATCCCAAAACGTCCAACATCCTTCAAACAGTAGGAATTAATCAAGTGTAACGGAGCAAAGTAACATGTATAGGAAAAATATGAACATGATTTGTACACCTGACAGGAGTGACCGAGGAATGCAGTGCTCTTGTTTAGTGAATATGCCTGATGTGGCTGTTGTCAGGCTTGTAAATAGTAAGAAATATGGGCACACAGTTTTGTTCTGGTACTTTGTAGTTGTAGTAGTAGAACAATATGTAGTAGTTTCACCTGCGATACTAGTGGGTACATTGTTTTTCTTGTCAAAAAATATGTTCCAAAATTTGGCTAATTTATAGGACTGAAAATTATTTGTTCGCGAAGTCAAAGTTGTGGCTTGGAGATCTTTCACAAATTGTGAATTGTGTTGTGTGTACATTGAATGTTATTTGATGATTTGTTTTGTAATGCTGGATCTGTGAGATTATGATACTGCTGCTTTATTTTACTTGGAACTAATTGACGGTGAAACACTTGCTTCAGTGTTGTTGAGACCGACTGAAGCAGATTGAGAAGTCTCTGAATACGGATATGATGAACATCATGCCTTTTGTCATTGTGAATGATGTGATATCCACTGTAAAATTTTGAGCCCCAAGCCCTCATGTCCCCAGATCATGTTTTCTACTTTTGACATGGCGTTGAGAATAAATTTTTTTCATCTTTACTTGTACAATTGGAGTTATTGCAATGTCTCTTTGTGTTCCTGTTTATGCATGGTTTATGCGCTGACGGGTGCGTTCTTTTCTTGGCTCTTGTCTTGTGATTGGTGACAGAATATAAATATAATGTTCTTTGTTTCTAACTTCTGTCATGTTGACTGAATTAAAAAATTTTGTCAACTTGTTTGCTCTTTGTTATCAGACTAGATCTTGGTCTCTTTTTCTTGTCTGCGCCTAGTGATCTGCGTCTGTTGCTGAGTTGACATACTGCAGACCAATAATAATACTCTCAACTGCTGTAGTTTTTCCACTGCTTTACTGCCTCCACTAGCATCGGTGATGTATTGGTTAGGTTCTTTGCCTTGGCCCAGCAGACATGAGATTAATTTTTTTTCTTGAGATCCCCATCTTTTTGCTACCTACATTTTGTCCCACTGAGAGCTGGTTGGTTCTGACAGGCGGGATAGAAGCATTTCGCCTCATGAACTAAATGTTCTGAAATGTGTCGATTAGATAGGGTCTATATATTTTCAACTACAATCATACACTCTTGTCTGTCTTCCACTGTCTGTTGCTTGTATCGCTTTGTCTGTTGTCTTCTATAGACCTACTGAGTAAATGAGTGTATTCTTTCTTGATGTGCTGTCTGGTCTTGTCTTATACTGAGTGACTGAGTGTGTTCTTTCTTGATGTACTGTCTGTCTGTCTGTTGTCTGTCTGTCTACTGTCTGTGGCCTGTTTTTGTATTGGTTGTTGTCTTTTGTACTATACTGTCTGTTACCTGTCTTGTACTACCTGTTGTCTTTTATATACTGTCTAGAGGTACGGTGTTCGACTCTCATTCAACAGATCCTGGGTTCGATACCTAACAGCAACGGAAGATTTTCTTCCAAAAGATTTTCTTTTACCTCCTTAACTGTTGTCTTATCATGTTCTGTTTTCTGCTTTGGTCTCCACTTTCTGCCCCCTCCTCTGGGTTCCTGACTCTTTTTGCTGCTTTTCTACTGCTACTCGATAGTAGTACTCCTTGGCTCCTTCTTACTGCTGTCTTTCATCAACACCCCTGATCTTAGGGTAGGTAAGATCTAAACATAACCTCGGATAAGGGCAAAAAAATCTCGGAGGTCCTGTGTGCAAGTTGCGCATGTTAAAGATCCCTTGATCATGTTGATGGTCCTAAAATAGATATAAGAATAAGAGTAGGCTTCGGCTGCCACCCGTGCAAAATTCTACATTTTTTCCTACCAAACTGAAATTAGTGCTTTATATGTGTGCTGGGCGCTTATACATGTATATGATCTTACGCAGTTGCGAGCGCAGTAAAAAAAGACCAAAAAACCCCCAACCCCACACGGAAAATGTCTATCTTCTTGCTCCTTCTCTACACTCTTCTCTCTGAATGCTATTGTGTTGATGTGCCTCTCCTTACACAATCAAACAAACCACCCTCTTACCCCAGGTCTTGTCTATCGCCCCCCTTCCCCTCATTCAAATCTATGAGTATGGTTCTGTTTAGCAGTTTGTTGTTTTTTTCCTCCCGCATATCTGTCGTGCTGTTTCCATGTGCAAACTATGTTATTGTGTGTATGATCATCTTTTTACTTAAAACAAACAGGGTCCTTCATTTCTTTCTCTCTTTTGGTTCTATTCTCTATTTTTTGCTTTTGCTCTGCTCAAAATGGCTTCACTGAGTCAATGTACTTCGCTTTACTCAAACTCATTGGCGATTTGAGGGCACCACCGGTGATCCTGCTTCCTTTTCCTTCCCTCTCTTGTTTCTGTCTATCTGTCTCGCTTTCTCCCTGCTCCAGATGATTGTTACAATGTCGATTTCTTCTTAACTCAACCAAACAAGATCCAACATATTTCTTTTTCTCTGTTATCTCTGTCCAACTAGCTTTTACCTTCTGCTATGGTCAACCCTTCTATATGGCTGTGAATGCTGGACAATCACTAAAGACAGTGAAAATAAAATAGAGGCAACAGAAATGTGGTTTCTTAGGAGACTGCTAAGAGTATCGTGGAAGGAAAAGAAATCAAATGAGGTAGTGCTTGATGAAGCCCGCGTGGGACGCTCAATGTTAAAAACAATCAGGAAACGACAAATGCAGTTTTTGGGACACCTGAATAGACATAAGGGTCTTGAACATCTAGCTCTCACTGTCAAAATTGAGGGCAAGCGAGGCAGGGGTAGGCCCAGAACAACATACTTAGGGAACCTAAACAAATGGGTAACAGGGAAAGATCAGGGAAACCTAGCTTTTCTGAGAGCATCCGAGCAAAGGAATGACTGGAAAATCATGATCGCCGATGTCTGTCGCAGATCTGCCACTGGATGATGATGATGATGTAACCAGTATTGTGCACATGATATGGGTGGCTGGCAGGTGCTCTGGTGTAGTTTGTTCCTTCTTTCCTGTCAATCATCTGTCGTCCTTATCTCCCCTCCTTTTTTGTGTTTCACTGTTTGTTACTCTCTTGTAGCAACACCTCTTATCTTCCACTTGTATATGACATTATTGTGTTGCAAGTGCCGCAAAACTCTTTCAAAAGCAAGAATCAAGCACATGACATGCTTTTCTCTTTACTCCAGCTAAATTAAGCTGTAGTGTCACACCCCTGTGGGTGGTTGGATTGTGCTACTTGCAGGTCCTTCTTTTCTTCTTTGTTCTTTCTGTCTGTCTTACATTTTCCCTGTTGGCGGTTGGCGGGTGTTCTGGTGTGGTTTGCTTCTTCTTTCCTATCAAAAATTTATTGTCCTTATCTCCTCTTCTTCTTTTTTATGTTTGTTACTCTCTTGTAACACCTCTAATCTTCTGGCGCTCATATGACCTTATGCAGTTGCGAGCACCATAAAACCTCTACTAAAACTAAACATTTTCCCTGCACTGTATAGTATAACCATTTTTGTGCTGATGCTCTCCTCTTCACTTCAACAAACATGGTCTTACTTTTTTTGCTTTCCCTTAGTTTTTTTTTGTCTCTCCGTTGTACTTTTTTTCATGCTCAAACTCTACATGACTGTTATTGGGTCTCTGGGTCTCAGTCGCAAGGGCCTACTTCATTTGGGTTAGGATCAGGGCTGTTGATGGTAGTAGATTAGTAGATCGTCAAGTGGAACAATTGTCAGACTGATCCAGTGGTAGACAGTCAAGGGGGGCTCTCGGGGTCTAGAGGTTAAGGTGTTTGCCTCTCATTCAATAGGTCATGGGTTCGAATCCGGGTAGCGAGGGAAAATTTTCTTCTTTCATATCCTTTACTGCTCCCTAACAATGTTCTGTCGTCCGCTTTCTTCTCCACTTTCTGCCCCCCAACCCCTCACTTTCTTTGCCCCCTCCTCTGGGCTCTTGAGTCTTTCTGCAGCCTTTCTACTGCTACTCCTTGGCTCCTTCTTACTGCTGTCTTTCAGCCACACCCCTGGTCTTATGGTAGGAAATATCTATACCTAGCCTTTTCGGATGAGGGCGAAAAATATCGAAGGTCCAGTGTGCAATTTGTGCACGTTAAAGATCCTTTGGTGATCCAAAATCAATAAGAGTAGGCTTCGGCCGCCACTCGAGCACAATTCAAAATTTGCTATCAACTGAAAATGTTTAATGTGTCCCGCATTCTCATATGACCTTATGCAGTTGCGAGCGCCGTAAAACACTTACAAAAAAAGAGTCAAGTAGAACAAAAACATCACATCAGACTGTCAAGTAGACTGGCACCGTCATTTCTTTCCCACCTGCTGTTTCTATCTTGTTAACTTTTAGTTTAAGTCTTACCCTGCACCAAGTGATTGTCTTTGTGTCTATGTGTACATTTCTTTACTCCAAACTAATCTAAACTACCTCAACCTCCTCTGCCCTCTCCCTAGAGCCGTGAGTTTGACAATGTGAACTACGTGATGGAGCAGGCCATTACCGGCGACTTCGCTCTGGTCAAGGCCTGGAAGGCAGACAAGGCAGGGAACCTCACCTTCAGGTAACAGGCTAACGCCACTACATATTGTATGATTTACTGATGGTAGCGCGATATCGGTTACAATCACATCACCAGCCGCGCAATTTCAAACTGCTATTTTCGTGTCGTTTGAAATCGACGGCGTTCACAAGCCTTCCCTGTAACAATGAAAAAACCTTTCACCCGCTCCAAAGACATCGGTCATGCAAAAATATCAATCATTAATTTAAAAACAGAAATGACTTGCTGACATTTTAAATCAATTAAAAGATTTGATCTGTCTTAAACAGTGGGGCAAAGCATTCCAGATCTTGAGGCTTTTAAGTTTTATGGATGGTAAAAGAAATTTCTTTTTGTCTGCTGATGACCTTGAACCAGGAGTTACAACAGTTTCAACAGATTTTGAAGTGACTTGGGTTGTGGTGGTAGTGAAGATGTTAATGAATGAATGTCGTGGTGGCATTGATTGTGATATGGGGAAGGTTGTGATGGTGGCAATGAGATGGTGATTGAATGTAGTGACATTGATTATGAAGATTCTTATGATGGGTAAGATTTTGATGGAACTGGTTGGTAAGCTTTGGATATATAAATACTCTATCTAAAGATTCTAATAGCAGTGATGATAATAGTGGTTGTGATCTATTGTAATGATAGGGAAGATTGTAATGGTGAGTGAAAAAGATAAAGAAAGAGAGGCAGATTGTCCTGTAGTAAGAATGTGTGATTTGATGTAAGGAGGAGGTATCAAGGTGCACATGTTGGCAGCAAATCGAAGTGCGCTGTTCAAAATTATCAGTGATAGGATTGTATCTCATATGTCTTCGTGGGTGGTTGGTGGATGCTCTAGTGTGGTTTGCTCCTTCTTTCCTATCAACACCTATCACTATCATCTTTTTCTCCCCTCCTCCTTTTTTGTGTTTGTTACTCTATTGTAACACCTCTAATCTTTGGCACTTATATGACCTTATTGTGTTGCAAGTGCCATAAAACACTTACTAAAACTAAAACTCATATGTTTTGTTTTGTGAGTAATGTAACTCTTGTAATACTGTGAGTCGGGTTTCTGACTTGATCAACAAGTGCCTATCATACTATGACCTGACCAACAGAAAAACGGCGCGTAACTTCAACCCCCCCATGTGCAAGGCAGGAGCCATCACCATCGCGGAGGTGGAGGAGATTGTGGAGATGGGAGAGATCCCACAGGAGGACGTGCACGTGCCACACATCTACGTGCAGAGGGTGATCAAGGGCAGCAACTACCAGAAACGTATTGAGGTGGGTCACAATTTAAATTTAATGGGGGTTTTTTCTGTACATTTCTTTTGGGTGTTTTACTGGCTTGTGTGGTTTTATGATTAGAATGTTTTTCACCATTGCTCACAGAAGGCGTGAGATTAATTCCCTGTGTAGGGAGGGGAGGGTGTTTCAGTGAGTATGTCCATCTGTCTGGTGGGTGCTGTATCCTACTTTGCCCAGGTGGGCCCTGACAGGCAGGATTTAAAACGGTCTGCACTTCCTAGATAAATCTTAATTGTATCAATAGGGGTGTAAAACATTTGAAATTAGTTTTAATATTTTGGATGTAACTTAATGGAAAACATGTTATGTACATCTACTGTGGCCTAAGACGTATGTTGGGGTGTCAACTCCAATATTTGGACTTTATTGATTTTGAAACGGATACAGTTGAGGAACTATCATTTGTTATGTCAGCATCAAACATGGAAATGGACCAACTGAGTACTTAAGTCTTTAAATCACTCGGAGTAAAGCAGTTTCAGCGTGTGCACTCTTCAGAAACGAAGATGTATTCACAGAGTAGTCCTTGACAAGATTTGCCGCGGCTTTGGCTTCTAATTTGATCCCTCTACAGTTATTGAACAGCTTAAATTTGGCTGAGAATAACAATAACGTTTATTTTTGTTCAATTGCACAAGGACAGGGCTCCTTTGACTCTCTGATGTCCTGAAAGAGTTGCTATCTGTGTTGTTGTGGGTTGTAAGTTCTGCTCTGTGTTTTACATATTTTTTATTTACATTGAACCTGTCCACGACAACCACCCTTTGTCGAAGAGAAAACTGGCCATCTCACACAGGTGGTCCTCTTGGACAGTGTCGTTATAATAAAGAATATGTGCAAGGAGGGACGTGGTGTTTTATACTGGTGATAATCTTGGACAGCTGGTCGTTACAGCAGTTTGACTGTATTTTATATATTGTAAGTGATTGTTTTTGATGTGTATTATAAGTGCTAGTTGTTTTAAGTGAAGGTTGTATGTTGCTACTTCTGGTATGCATGTTGTTGCCTATGGTTTTGATCAATTTTATGATGAGATAAGATGTGTTTCATTTGCTCATTTTTCTACCCAAGGATGATGTCATATATGACTACGATATTTCCTTGATACGTACAATTTTGCAGCATCCTGTTCTTTCTGTGGTCAAGACAATTAGGTTCTGTGCTTTGCTTTCTAAGAATAGTTATCGTTAAATTTTGCGCACTACCACTTGCATAACCTTTATAACATTGAGCGAACTGTAAAAATTTGACTTATCTCTAATTGTCGTGGGTTTCTTTTCAGCGACTGACACTGACGAGGCCAAAAGAGGCAGCGTCTGCACCGAGCCCAGCACAACAGATGAGGGAAAGAATTGTGCGGAGGGCGGCCCTTGAATTCCAGGATGGAATGTACAGTATCCTTGCCTTATTGAAACATCTACAACACATAGTATGGGTGACGTATGGATACAAAAGAGATGTGGATTTGTGAAAACACTGGGAAGTGGACTTGTGTGTTCAAAGGGGTAGTGGGAATGAGAAAATGTAGGGTAGTGGGCTTGTAGACACCCAGTCTAATTAGTATTTGAGCATATGGTATTGCACAAGTGCTGCCATTATTTTTATAATAACCTGCAGTTTTTACAATTTTTTAGTGAAGCCAAAAAACTGAATGTTGTTCCCAAGAAAACAAACTGTTTGCAAATATATTAATATCCCTAGTCAATATTTTTAAAGAATACAATTTTGATAATAATTTTATTATTATCTTTAAAGCAAATGTTTTTTTTAATAACAACATTCATTTTTTTTGGCTCTCCTGTAAAATTGTGAAAACTGCATATACTGTACTTTTAGTAATGTCGGCAGAGTGGACACAAAAGGTAGTGGGTATGTGGACACACAAGGTAGTGGGTATGTGGACACACAAGGTAGTGGGTATGTGGACACACATGGTAGTGGGTATATAGTAGGTACATGGGGTGCTGGAAGTGTGGCTGGAAGAGTAGTGAACATGTAATAAATGGGTTAGTGGGCAGGCACTGGGACACCTGAAATAGACAGAGTTTAGACGGTGGGATAGCTGTTTACGATGGAGTTAATCTGTTAGTCTAGATTCTTGAATTTTTATTGATGAAGTATTTCCTGAGCAGAATCAGTTAACCTTGGTATTGGAATGCCGATGCTTGCCAGTAACTACATCAAGCCAGGAGTTTCGGTGCATCTTCACAGTGAGAATGGCATTCTGGGACTGGTGAGTTTGGGCTCAGCTCAGAAGTACTTCTATCTGACTTACGTATTTGTATTGATGAGAGTTTGCCTGATGATTATATCTGATTCTCTACGTCACTTGTCTTTCACACCAGTCTTCTTCACCTTTTTCGAGTGCAAGATCTGAAGCAGACATCGGCAATCATGGTTTGCCACGTATTTCTCTTCTCAGATGCTCTCAGAAAACCATTGGTGTCTGTGGTATGACTGCTCTCATTCGGCTGTTGACTGTCATTTATGTTGGAAAAACTGTCCATTGATGGCGTTTATATTTTGAAAAATCAATGGAACAAAATTTTTTAAAAGTTTTATTGTTTCAGTGACTTTTAGCTTGATTGTTTTACAAATTTGTTCTGCCTGCTTACCTGTGGTTGATCAATGCTGATGGACATAGTAAGCACTGATGAAGTTTTATACAAGTTTTGTATAGCTCTCAACATGTCGTGTAATATATTCTTCTTCAAGTGCAAGATCCGAAATAGGCTTTTAAGCACTTATTTCTCTGCTAGGATGCTCTCACAAAAACTATACTGCAGTGGGTTGAAGTTCTCATAGTCATTATTCTTGGTCCATCTCTGTTCCTTTTACCTTAATTTTTTTCTTAGAAAGCATATAATGTACATTTTATTTAATTCTGTATCTCCAGAGGGGGGTTTCCCCACTATGCCTGAGCCCTCTTTTGGTACAAAACCTGAGAACGACATACAAGTCATTAAATTGGTCATTAAATAAAAAGAAATAGACCTATTTTGATAGTTTTTCATCTTATTAAAGAACGCCTGGTAAGAGAGCCCTATTTTCGTCAGTTGCCAAAGATTAATATAACGTTGTTGTCGTCATCATAAAGAAGTGCAATGGAGCCGCTGCCGGCTGGGAGCTGCTGCCCTAAGGAGTTAAATGTATCATGTACATGATTTGTTCAATAAATATAATAATAATCCTTATTAATAATTATTGTAATTGCGTATATGTTCCATCAGCATATCCTATGATATACTTCAGGGCCCATTCCCAGTACCCGGTGAAGAGGACCCAGACTTGATCAATGCAGGCAAGGAAACGGTGACCAGCATTGAAGGGAGCTCCTACTTCTCCTCTGATGAGTCCTTTGCCATGATTCGTGGGTGAGTTGTGGACACGGCTGTTGAGATACTGTGTTGAAATGTATGTTGTGTTGATGAGGGCACTGTGGTAAAAGGCGTGCAGTGTTAAAAAGCATGCTGTTATAAAAAGGAACACTGAATTGAAAGTCACCTTGTGTTGAGGGCAGTGTATGTGTGTGTTTCGTACATTGTTGTTCTTTCTTGTGGGTAGCTGATGGATGCTCTGGTGTGGTTTGCTCCTTCTTTCCTTTCAAACGAATATCGTCCTTATCTCTCCTCCTTCTTTTTAGTGTTTGTTACTCTCTTGTAACACCTAATCTTCGGCACTTATATGACCTTATTGTGTTGCAAGTGCCATATAACTCTTACTAAAACAGAAATATTCTTTCTCTTTTGATTTGGGGGAGAGGGGTTTGTGTGTGTGTGTTTTGTCCATCTTGTCTGCTCTCTGTCTCCCACAAGACTTTGCAGTGTGTGTTCAGAGTCAGGAATGATGTGCTACCTTTTTCTACATCTAGTAGTGGAGTGACCTCTAAATGGCCTTTTCAGACAACATCCAGTAATGCAGTTACCTGGAAAACAACTTTCAATAGGCAGTTACCTCTAAGGACAATGTATGTTTGAGCTCTGAGGTTTTATTGGCATCTATGGTGTTATTGTTTTAATTTCTTTGTCTTGCACACTAAGAACATGAGTTCTCTTATGAACTTTTAGTGCTGATGGTGGAGTGTAACAATGAACTTTTTAATTTGTTTTTTTTCCTTCCCCTCACAGAGGTCATGTAAGTCTCACAATTCTGGGAGCCATGCAGGTGTCTCAGTTTGGTGATCTGGCTAACTGGATGATACCGGTGAGTGGACGATGTACGGTTAGGTACTGGTCACATGACAGATGATGGGAAGTGGTCACATGACAGATGATGGGAGACAGTGGGTAGTGGTTACATGACAGATGATGGGAGGTGATCACACGACAGGACAGATGATGGGAGGTGGTCACATGACAGATGATGATCACATGACAGATGATGGGAGGTGGTCACATGACAGGACAGATGATGAGAAGTGGTCACATGACAGATGATGGGAGGTGGTCACATGACAGGACAGATGATGGGATGTGGTCACATGACAGGGCAGATGATGGGAGGTGGTCACATGACAGATGATGGGAGGTGGGCAGTGGTGAGAGTGGCAAATATGAGAGTTGGTCACATGACATGGTAGATGGTGGTCAAATGACAGGTAGTGCAATGTGGTCAAATAAGTTGTCATTTAAATCATGGCAGGTTATCCGCTAGCAGGTAGTGGAATGTCTTATGCGTGTATTCTTGTGTGTGAGAATACGTGCATGTGTGTGTTCACATATGTACGTGTGCTGAAGTTGTGTGTATGTGTGTGTACATGGGTATGTCAGTTGGTTTATTTGTTGATTGTCCCAAGACATGCTGATGTGTGTGTGTGTGTCTGTGTACTGAATTTATGTTTGCTTGTGTGTGTGTGCTTGTGTGTAGATGAGTCTGTGCGCCAGTTTATTCGTTCATCCTGTGTATGTTCCTCAGGGCAAGATGGTGAAGGGCATGGGAGGAGCCATGGACCTAGTCTCTGGCACCAAGACCAAGGTCATCATCACCATGGAACACACGGCGAAGGTAAGGGGGGTCACCGGGGCTTTCTTGGTTGGGTTTGGGAGGGTTTTTTGTTGTTGTTGTTGTTTGTGACTGTTAGGAATTTGTGGTTGGGGGGGGGGGGGTAATTTTTTGGGGTGTTTTTTTAGGGGGGGGGGGTTGTCGGGGGTGTGATGGGAGTTACAGATGTCAGATGGCGGTTTTTGTAGCAAAGATGAAAAGAATTTTTCATAGTTTAAGGTTAATGTTCTTGTAGTTTTAGTGGCCAGTTTTCACTTTCTATACACCACCTTCTGTGATCTAATGGTCAGGCTCTTTTCCTTGTGCGCAGAAAATGTGAGTTTATTTCCAGTTCAAATGATTTCTTTTTAGTGAGTAGTTTTGTCTTCTGAGATTCTTTATCCCACTCGGTTGGGTTGACCTGGACAGGCAAAGTCAAAACGGCCTGATCATAAATCAGTTAGTATCGACTGTATATGTTTTATTTTGATTGTACCGGTACTCTTCTACATTACACATTGTATTGTGTTCTCTTGCGACACACTGCATCAGTGGGTGGTTGGTGGGTGCTCTGGTGTGGTTTGCTTCTTCTTTCATATCAAGCATCTATCGTCTTTATCTCCCCTCCTTCTTTTTTGTGTTTGTTACTCTCTTGTAACACCTCTAATCTTCAGCACTTATATGACCTTATTGTGTTGCAAGTGCCATAAAACACTTACTGAAACAAAAAAAAACAAAAAAACTTCAGTGTAGGTCTATACACATTGCTTGAAATGTACAAGACAAGGGTGGGGAGGTGGGATGGATGGAGAGGGAGCAAATCGGCAAAAAGTGTTTGATCTAGACCTAGGTCTAGCTTGTAGAGATTTGTGTGTGAAAGATAGTCAAACAAACACCGAGTGAATGTGTCGCGTGTAAGCTAGTGTGTACTGTGTACTTCTGGCGGCCTGTTCGCTGGCGAAACAATGGGGTAAATTACAGTAGTTTAATGACTGTACAACTGAAACAGCTGGCAGATGACAGTGTAAAGGGTCAAATACTATGTTTATATAAGGGATTCTTTTCGTACATTGGCAAAGTCTGGCGGCAAGTGGGGCTGGCGGTGCAGCGAGGTTTGACTGTACTTCTCTGTCTCGTCCCCAGGGTGGCAAACACAAGATTCTGAAGGACTGTTCCCTGCCTCTGACTGGCAAAGGCTGTGTGGACATGATCATCACAGACCTGGTGAGTTCATAAATACGCTACGCTTGTTTTTGTCAATGATGACACTTGCCTGTCTCGGTCAGGTGATATTTCCTCGCAGCCTGTATTCTTCTGGACATCCTCAGCACACATTGACACACACATACAAAAACATTCGCACATGTTCCTGAACACAGGAATGCTTGCACAAGATATTCCACACCTGTCCATCTAAATGTATTGGGTTTTTTCTATCTGTTACTATGCATGATTGACTGTGTTAAATTGTATATAATTGTCTCTGTCCATTCAGACATGTGATTTTTTTTCGCTGTCCAGATGTATGCATGATTTTCTGTGTTAATTCATATTTATGATTGTCTTAGACAAATTAGATGTATGATTGTCTTTATTAATGTATAATTTGATTGTCTTTATGAATTTGATGTATGGTTTTCTTCCTTCAGCTGTGTTTGTGGTGTTGTTGGTAGGCACTTCAATTTAATAATAATCGGTAATAATAAAAATAATAATAATAATAGATAGCATTTGTATAGTGCAAATCCCCGCTCAACAGCAAGTGCTATGGGCTTCACAATCTACACTGCTACCCCAGCAGATCTGAGATCATTCTGAAACAACCTCAACTTCCTGGGAAGCATACAGAACAAGCAGCCATTTATAGGCGTTAAAACACTAACAAACTGACAAAATCGTTCACTGCCTATGGCTAGATACCCATTCCCACCTGAGTAAAGTGAGGAAAATTCATGTACAGTGCCTTTCCCAAGGACACAACGTCGGGCCCGCCGCTCGAACTCCCGAACCCGCAACCTCACGATTACGAGTCGGGTAGCCTAATCGCCAGGCCACCGACGCCAATTTACATATGAGCTTGGTTCCCTTTCGAGAATCTCCGTCATTCTATAGTGATATTGCATCTCATTCAAACCCGGTTGGCTTTTTCAAGTGGCATAGACACAGCTTCCCAAGTAATTGAAGTAATCTAAATTTTGTGAATTGGTGAGTAACACATATTTACATTCATTTATAATGGCTTGTCCCCAGGGTGTGTTTGAGATCTCCAAGGATGCAGGTCTGGTCATGACTGAGATTGCTGATGGGGTCACCGTGGAGGATGTTCAGAAGAATACAGGCTGCGAGGTCAAGGTAAGACAGCTGCTACTTAAGGTCAAGGTCAGATAATAAGTGTCAATAATCTCAATCCTACATAAGACCTTATTCTGAAAGGTATTTGTCCTTCCTAAGACAGACATAACTTAGCTGGAAACTCAACATCTTAGTAAAAATATGTCTACAAAAGGGACCAGAAATATAATGGGTAGGCAAGAAATTAAATATTTATAGAAAAATGTCTACAAAAGTTACTAGAAATAATATGGGTAGGCAAGAAATTAAATATTTAGAAAAATGTCTACAAAAGTTACTAGAAATAATATGGGTAGGCAACAATTTAATACTTATAGACAAATGTCTACAAAAGCTGCTAGAAATAAAATGGGTAGGGAAGCAAGTAATTATATATATTTATAGAAAAATTTCCACAAAAGCTGCCAGACATAATTAAAAGGTAATTGATTAACTGCAAAAGATAGATTATAGATTTAAATAACTGTGGTACAACTGTTTGACATATGTGTGATTTGGTCATTGTCCATGGTGAATTTTGACTTTACTTTTGTAGGATCTGTATGTTTTTCTTTGAGAGGTTTGGCTTCATATTTGTTAAGGTTTTTCCTTTTTCTTCTCTGGCTTGAATGCTCACTTTCATAAAGTTTGGCAATTTTCCGAATAAGATTTGACTTTTCAGTTTTATAAACATTTATGAGGTGTGCTGACAAAATGAGTTCTCACCCTGGATCAGGATATAGGCCATGAACAAACTCTTTCCACCTTTCCGTATCCTGGGCTAGCTTCTTGATATTTGTCCATGTCTTCCCGCTTTTGTGTAGCCTACATGACATCGATTTCTGTGACTCTTGTCCAGGTTCCTCGTGGTCTTCCCCTGGATCTTTTACCTTCTGAGATCCAATCCAATACTTTCCTTGTTATGCAGCTGCTTGACTTCCTCAGAGTATGTCCAGTCCACGGCACTGCCTTCTTCCCACCTCATCTCTGACTGGGCTCTGTCTTGTTTTCCTTAACCCTATCCGTATGCCCTGGGGTAATTTTGTACCCCGGGTTGTATTCTTCACATTTTAGAATACTTCTAGTACGAAGATCTCTTTGAAACTTTCAGTATTGCTCAAAAATCATTTTGACAGACTGCTATGCAAAGTGTACGGATCAGATTATCGAGTAATTTTCCTCTTTGGAAAGTGGTGGCACAGAGTTCCCCATGTCGTATGGATACGATAGTAAAACACGATGTACGGATAGGGTTAGTACTTCCTTGTTGGTGACCCTGTCTATCCATCTGATCTTCAGCAACTTCCTTTGAAACTTGTTCAAGAAGACCTGGTTTAGGATTTTAGCCTTATGGAAATTGATACATCAATTTATAGGTGGAGTTTGTACAATTTTAAAGTAAGGAATAATAAAAGACACAGTAGGCATCAATCGAAAATCTATAAATCTGACCCATATCTTTATTCTTGGGTTGCGAGAAGTAACTCATTTTGTCAGCAAGGTGTGACTGTTCAGCTTTGTAAGATTTGACAGTTTTCTGTTGTAAGGTTTGACTGCTCACTATAATAAGACTTGACAATGTTCTGCTGAAAGGTTTGATTATCCACCTTTGTACAATTTGACGTTTTCTCCTTGTGTCTGTGTGCAGGTGTCGGAGAACCTGAGGCCCATGCAGACATCGTAAAGCAGAACCAAAGAAGAGGGAGAGGCACAAGATCAAACTGAGATGTTTCCTTAGTTCTGAGTGTGTGAAAACATTGTGTATGTGTTACGCTGTTTGTCGTGTTTGTGGCAGGGGAAATCAGCTGTTCTGTTTCTCTCTTTGTGTGCTCCTTGCAACCAGAACCAGTCGATTGCCTTTTTGCTCTCACTTACTCACTGACTGTCAAATTGGGTGGGTGGGTGGGGGTGTTTGTTGCTACATATACTCATGTCAATCTTTTGGTTTGAACACTATCTCCAGAATATGTTGATGCTGTTTTTGGGCCATGAGAGAGGGTGATGTTGTCTTTGAGTTTGACTGCTTATATTTCCTGTTTGTTGTGCCATGCATCTCAATCCTGCATCGATTTCTTTTTAAGGGTTTTCACCAAGTGCGGACATTTCTATTTGGCATATTTTTTTCTTTAGCTATTCATATATCTACATCTGTTTAACATCAGATTTGGTCAAATGTCTAGTTTAAGCTTATGCTATATTTTAAATTTTTGTGGCTACCTAAAAAGGTCTCTAGATTCACAGGACATGAGATGGACCTGGAGAGAGGATCTTGTATTGATTGTTCTCTTGAGGAAAGGTCCACATGTAAGTCTACTTAGCTGTCACGTGTGCAGGAATATCTCTTGCTCTGTCTCACGTGTGCTCAAGGGTTGCTTTTTGTAGGGTGCTGTGTTCTTTTTGCGTGTGGTGATTTTTGTCACATGTGAGTTTAACGACTACCACGTTCTGGCAGTTGACTTGGAGCAGCCAGCCCAAGCTGATTGTTCCATATATACCGGTACCGCATAATAGTTTCTACCAGTGTACAATCAACGAGATTGTTTGGCATACTTCTTCTTATGCTTTATTTTGTCTACTTATCTGATTAATCTTCTTATCAAGCATCCAAAGAAAAGGTTTCAAATCATAGGGGCTTGTCATGTGTTGTTTTGTTTGTTCTTGTAATGACCTCTAAGACTCAAACAACGAACTTCAACTGTTGGGCAACTGAGACCTAAACGTTTTGTACCGAGGTGTTTGGCTTTAATTTTAGTTCTTTTGAGGAGAGACTTTTTGTATTATCATCATTTGCAACTATCTGCAGCTTAAGTGCGTGACATTTGGGGGTATGAGTCAGGCGGACCTTTTAGGGGAACATTCGCTTTGCTCTAATCACCCAGAACTTTAGTAATTGTACATGGAAACCCCTAGACATGTTTGGGTTTATAAATGGCTACATTACAAAAGGCACCATACGCAAGATCTGAACAAAACAAATGATGTGATATTTTTTTCCTCTCTCAGCTATCGTCCAGCAGCACTACCTTTATCAACAACATATATATAATGATAAAATTCAAAAGGAACGCCTCAATTATACGATGAGATCAGATAGATGAAGGGGTGAGTTATAGAACATCTTTGTCTTTGTAGCATGCTACTTTTACATAGTGTATCATCTGTTATGGGTGTAGTGTTTTCACTTGTTGTGTCTGCGGTATGTTGTTACCAAAGCCATACCGTATTATGTTGTTGGCAGAGGGTTGCCCACAATAGGAATTATTAAATTGTGTGGCATTCTGCTGTAATCAGGTGCTTGTCAAAAGTAATGAAATTGAAGAAATCATCTTTTTTCAGCTTGTCAGGCAATTTTTATCAAATGTAAACATTTTTGGCTCATTACCTTGTATGTGCATTCAAAAACACATTTTTGTGCAGATTTTTAAACTGAAAATTTTTGATGAATAACCCCCCCCCCCCCCAAAAAAAAAAGGTTAATTTGCAGTTTCCAATGATTTTCAAGTCAATAAACTTTAGACGCCATTTTATAACTAATTTGACCTCTGGCATCAGGCAACACCGTTCATAAATATCTAGACTATTATACAAGATAGATGGGTATATTTTCATCAAAGACAAGACAAATGAAGAGTGATGATATCAATAATTCCATATGCCCCCCAAAAATTGACGAGTGCCTGATTCCACTGTGTTAATAGTGTTATGGCAAAATTTATACCCGTTGGTAGTAAGTCCATTGTTGTGTCATTTGCCTGTTATTGCTCATTGTTTGGCTGTCCATGTCCAAACGTTAATTCCAGGGAGTATACCACGAGATGTATTATTGTAGTATTCAAGGAAAAAAATGTTTAAACCTTCGAGCTAAAAACCAGGTAGCTGACAGACTTTGCAAATCACAAATTGCTAAGACCTTGAGGCATTGACTGGGTTTGTCACATCAAAAGGCTTTACAGTCTTTGAATGTCACTCAGAATGTTCCAGCAATGTTTATCAGACATTATGAGATCTGACAAATGAGAAAGAATACCTGAACAATCTGTCTGACATTCCATTTTTTGTACTTGAGGTAATTTTCCTTTTTCTGCAGTTCAGTTTTGCCATTAAACTTTTGCAAATTTTGAAGTCTAACAGTCACTTGGAGTACAATTAAAATATTGACCTTTCTGCAGGTGATCTCTTAAATAGCTAAAACCAATTAATCTCTTTGTTTCTTTCTGTGAGTGGCTTTAGCGGCTCTTGGACAGTAGTAACACTAACCATAGTCTGAGTGTTTTGTCTTCGCTGAATGGGTCGTGTTGAGAGAACGTTGTGACATGCGGCCTGTCAGGTTGATGGTTTGGAGGCATTACCTGTATTTATGGGAGATTGGCAATCATGTCTTATAGTTCCTATTTTAGCATTCTCAGAACAATGTGTGCATGCTGTGTTCCCTTACTAGTTGTAGTAATAGTAGTTGAAATTGAAATTGAACTATTTGAAGTCGGTAGCTCTAGTGAGGGCAAACTAGTCAGTTGGTTTTATCCCATTCGTAACCACTTGTGGAAAGTGCTTGTGGTTTGGGTGGGTTGTGTTTGAAATTGTTGTTTTAATTGTTGCAGTCATGGATAGAATCTGGATTCAGGTACACAAATGCACAGAGATTTTTAAAGGAATGTTTGTTGTCCTTGGCTCAGTTATATAATTTTATATGTCAGGCCAGGAAATGATGTTGAGTACAGTACCTCAGAATTTGTCAAGCCACCTCGGTGAAATTACCTGTCTGAAAGATGTAGATGCCGTAGCAGTGTGAGATGTGTTGATGTACTGCCTCTGTAGAAAAGTTTTACTCTGTGGCGGTGTGTGTGCTACTTTAAATTATTATAATATTTTTCCAGTTAGTATTTCATGTTTCAAAGATCATATCATGTGTGTACAGGTTATGTTTTATGAGAAAGCATTCTTATATCTTAGTAAAGATCCATCATATTTTGTTTTTAGAAATCTTATGATTAGTATGGGGTCAAGCATAGATTGATTGAATTCCCGTTGCACATGATGTATCATGTGTGTTTCTTTTTATTACCTGTGTAAACTTGGCAGCTTAGAAAAGTAGCAATAGGGACGTGCCATAGGCTTGGGTTTAGAAAAGGAATGTAAATGTATAAATATCTCCTGTCCCCTAAAATGAATACATGCTTTGTTGTTGAACCTTTCTTTCTTTGCTCAGTCATATCTGTACCTATCTTCTTCTTCTTCTTCTTCTTCTTCTTCTCATTCATCTTTAACTCTATCCGTACACCCTGGGGTCTTTTTGTACCCCCGGGGTTGTATTCTTCACATGTTACAATACTTCTAGTGCGAAGATCTATGAAACTTTCAGTATTTCTCAAAAAAATTATTTTGACAGACTGCCATGCAAAGTGTACGAATCGGAGTAGTGAGTAAATTTCCTCTTTGGAAAGTGGTGGCACAGAGTTCCCCACGTCGTATGGATACGATAGTAAAACACGACGTACGGATAGGGTTAAGTGGACATATCCCAGTCTCTAGTGCAAAGGCCGCTGTTTTCTGCAGGTCCTCCAGTCTTTATGGAGTTGTGGGTTACTTTGCCTAGTGTTAGGTCAATATTTTGTTCTAAATAATCTAATCTAAGTGCCTTTAGCAATGGGCAGGCTTGTACTGCTGTAGGAAGTGAAGAGCCCAGGGGAAAAACAGCACAGCCACTAAGCCACTAACTGGATATTGGAGGGTCTCCGTCTCAGTTTTAGGAGCCTGTAGACTTATAACTGCATTTCTGTTCAACTGTTGATTGGTTATTATTGTTTTGACTTCCCGTTCAACTAACAATAACAACAGACCACCAGTCAAGTCAAACAGAAATGAAGTAATGAGTCTACAAACTTTTAACATTGATGATTCCCTCACAGTTTCCAGCTTGTGACCGTGCTGCTTTTCCCCTGTTCTCTACAAGTGGGTTCCTGTTAAGCCACCAGTTCCTCATTTACACTGCTCTGAGTTGCCAAGTCATACAGACTTCAACATAGTTAAGGACCACCTTGACAGACAGCCCTGATTTTTAAAAAATAAATCCCCAAAAAATGACAGCACGGAATGTTTCAAAATATTTTGCTCTGAAAGTGAAAGTGTTAGGGTTACCAATGCGTACTGCAAAGCTTCCTAAAGGGACATGACCACGTGCAGCACGCAAATCCTCTGGAATTTTTGCCAAATTTGCTGTTTTTTAGCAACTTGTGTGCGACACCACGAACATTCCTCAGTGAGAAGTTGCCAGAAAGTTTGCAGTGTCACACTCTGCCATTGTCCGCCTGAGGCAGGGCCAACAAGCCACTGGGTCAGTCCAAGAACGCCCTCGTGCAGGTCGGCTCAAGAAGACAACTCAGAGTCTTTGCAAGTGGTCCTTAACTTTTGTTGAAGTCTGTTTATATATATATATATACATTATAAATGATATATTTACCCAGGAACATTGATGTCTCATGAATGAATGAACATCCGTGTTGTACTTCTGTGATACCCAAGACTGACTGTAACTCTTAATCGCTCCCGTTGACACAATGTAAATCCTTCTTCAACGCTGAGCTGCATTTTGTCTACCCCAGCTGAGTGAAATGTGTTCAAGGCGAAGAACCTTTTTCACTACAGATGCAGGTTGTGATAGCCAAGATTGTATGAGAAAATGTGTTTATTTTATCTCTGTGGAACCTCTATTTAGCAAGGGGAACACTTGCATACCACAGAAGGAAGTGATGGAGAGAGCCTTGTTTACAATTCCACATCCATTTAGGATCTTTTTATGCACATCTTTTCTCTGCATCTCTTGCAATATACTTAAGTGTTCCTTTTATTTAGAAAATATGGGCTTTTAACGAATTTATTATTGAGTCAAACAGAAGTCAATTTTTATTTTTACTTTAGAGTGAAAAATGTTTTAATGTACATAATGGAAAATCTGATCACAAATATCGGTGCAGGCTTATACTTATAAATAGAAAAGGGTGTGCGAGGAGGTGTCCAAAGAAAACTAAGATTTTGTTAAAGTTAAAGTAAAGAAAAAGGCTCATGAGAATAAGATGACAGTTTTTAGCATGGTGAACCCACATAATGTTGATGTGCTGGGGGAATGAACAAAGCTTTGATAAATACTCAAGTTCAGATCTGTCTTTGAGAGAATAAGAGTGAACAAATTGACCTGCAGGACCAGGAGATTTTTGCTGCAATGCATGTATTTCTGTTTAAATGGGTTAGTTGATATTTGAATTCTTGGATTTTACTTAAACTAAGATTATTCCGGTTCTAAAGTCTTTTGATTTTACTGACCTGTAGACATTTATAATTAACATATATGTTTTTTTCTTACAGATTAAAAAAAAGAACGATGGGTTTGGTTTTAAAATTATTTTTAGTGTTTGTTATAACTGCCAACTGTCCCTAATTGAATGAGAAAGTCTTGGTTTTTGGGAGGGTTCAGATTATTTTTACTGTGTGCAGCTTTGATTTATCAATTCCTTGTTTTGTCATTTCTTTACTTAAACTAAGTAGTAGCATGGAAAACCATCAGGTAAAGAGCCATAACCTCCCTTGAGCGTTATTGTGTGCAGGTTTCCTTGTTTTATTTTCAGTTTCCAAACGTTGGTAGCTTTGCACTCATTATTTATTGTAATGGCTATAAATAGGTTACACTAAACAAGTCCAAGCATCTCATTTTTTCTTTGTTGCTCTATCATGCAAGCCAACAAACAGTAAGAAAAGAGTTGCCTTCTCTTTTTTGTTCTTTTGATTAGCACAGCTTGACATGAAATCTGCGCTGAGAAATTTTCTGGTCCTGTGAAGTTCATTAGGGTTTTATTGTACTTGTGTGGACTCAACTACAAAATCTGAATGCAAGGAATCAATTCAGTAAAAAAAAATTTTTTATTTTACCTGGGCATGTGTGTCTTTCACTTTCACATTTCCTTCTATGGCACATATGTGAGGTGTGCTGACAAAATGAGTTACTTTTCCGATTTTAGCCTTATGGAAATTGATACATCAACTTTATAGGTGAAGTTTGTACAATTTGTAAGTATAGAAGAATAAAAGACATGGTAGACTTGAACAAAATGGTATCAATTAGAAATCTATAAATCTGACCGCAGTGTCAATTTTCGGCCGATATGTCCATTCTGGGACAGCGAGAAGTAACTCATTTTGTCAGCACACCTCACACATTATTATGGCGGAGCAAGAGCTGAAGGGTGTGAAAACTGTACTTTGTCTCCCATTAGCCGCATTGTTGTTTGTCATTATGATGTAAAATATGTACACCATCATTATACATTATGATTATGAATGAAAGATCATGTGCATTTAGTTAGGGATGTTGTCTAGTACTATTACTGGTAGTAGAAATAATGTACTCTAAGACATGAAGTAATTTTGATAATTCTGATAGTGATTGTTATTATTTTCGTTCTGCTTGGCTGTCCAAAACTCACTGAGAGTGAACTGTTTGTACTGTACCAGAGGCTGTTTGTATGACAGATAGCAACATTTGTGAATTGTTTATTTCACATGGTCATTGACACAGTTCAACTCCTGGTCTAAGTTTTACCATATTTCGATAATAGCCAAGCAACATCTCTTTGTTATGTAAAATAAACCAAAGAAGAAATACTGTTCACTAGTTGTGACTTTCTTTATTACGTATGGATGGCTCACGAGTGTAGATTTAGTGTGCATGTATTTCTCAAAACATGTACATTTACCCGATAATCAATTTACAAATGTCCCACATCATGCTATTTTTCTAAATAGAGTTCTTTTTATTTCTTTATCTGCATAATTTTCAGGGCATGCCTTGCTGATGTTCATAAACTGAACAGAGGTTACAAAGAACCTTTTGCTGAACAGTGGATGTATGCAGCAATCCAGCGGTCATTAAGTGCCAAAGATCTGAGGTGATACTAGCGAGTAACATAGAAGATAAAGAAAGAGGAGAGATAAGGACGACAGATGTTTGTTGATAGGACAAAAGCAGCAGCAAAAATCTTAAAATTAATAAGCGTTGAACAATTAAACGTTGAAAAATGGCATGGTCAAAAACGCTAAATGATAGGATCTGCAAACTGCTTGACTTTCATATATTTTAAAAAGTCTCGAATTAATAAAGCTCATCAAAGAAAAAAGTATGGACTCTTTGCCTGTCACTGTCAGTGTGTGTTTCTAAGGGTTAATGTGTGGAAACGGCTCTTGAACAAATAAATACAATACATGGATAGAATTAAATGTTTTGTTTTAGCAAGAGTTTTCTAATATCACTTGCAACACATTAGATCATAAAAGTGCGGAAGGTTGACGGTATTACACGAGGGTAACAAACACAAAAAAGGAGAGACAAGGACGATAGATGCTTGATTTTGATAGGAAAGAAGGAGCAAACCATACTAAAGCACCCGTCAACCATCCACAAGGATGAAGTCAGGCCCTTCAAGGCCAGACACATACTTTCACTCATATTCACTGCCTATTGTGTAAGACATGAGATTGAGAGAGAGAGAGAGAGGGAGAGAGACAGAGAGAGAGAGAGAGGGACAGAGACAGAGAGAGAGAGAAGATCATTTTCTCCAATAATTAGAATCAACGATAATGATACACAGCTGAGGGAAATCCCAGAGAATGCCTCTCCCTTACAAACCAGACAGTGATAGCAGCAAACATGGTGTTCCCTTCTTCATCACAACGTCGGTCTGTCGTTGTCTTACTTGTTGCAGTGAGAGAGGAGGGGAGAGGACCTTGAGTCCATTGCTATCTTCAGTTTGGTTTAAAATGAAGGACCGTATTGACTGTCAAAGGTAATGTTTTATAAAGATAAGTGCGGCATTTTCTTTCAACCAGCCTGATACGATGTTGAGAACAAGTTGAGAACACACGAGTTTGTACAGAAGTTCAAATCTGAAGTGGGTCAAATTTTTTTGTATCTCCATTCAGAGAGTTTTCTTCTTAGCCCAGCATCCAGACAAATGATCATGACGCAGCACTGGAAGCTGCGAGTTTTCAGACTGAACAGGAGTCACCAAATGCTTTTTGCTGACAGACGGAAGTATGTAATCCAGTTTTTTATATTATTAATATATATATATGTGTCAGCAGGCGGGCCTATTGCACTGCCATGAACATGACAAGATCATCGTTCACTACCATGGCAAATGAAGTGGAAATTTTTAGCTTTAGTATGAGTTTTACTGCACTTGCAACACAATTTGATCATAAAAGTGCTAAAGATTAGAAGTACAGTGGAAACCTGATATAAAAGGGATGATGGGACCAGAGAAAGTCCTGTTATTGTTATAACCGATCCCTGATAAATCAGAAATGCAAGGGAAGCAAGCATTTTTGGACTAATCCAGCTGTTTTTATTCATGGGCAGTTTCCCTTGCCACAAGTACCCACGAACAGGAGTTTTGGCCTTGTGGTTGGCCTGCGCATGACACATTACGCGTGTGTGGAGCTAGGCTTCGGGCTAGATTGAAGTCTGCAGCACACCGCAGCCCTCTCTCGCTTCACCCGCTGCGTGCGCTTGCAGCAGTGGCATGACTCGCGTGGGCTTCCTCCATCACTGCGTTGCTCTCTCTCTCTCTCTCTCTCTTACTTTTTACTTTTACACATTGTTAACGAGCCTTTGTCCCTGCTATAACCGATTGGGCTGCTATGGGGCCCTGTTATTGCCCATAACTTTTAACAGAGACAAAGAGTAGAAAAAAAACGGGGATTGAAAAAATCCCTGTTATTACCGGATCCCTGTTATTACCGGGCCTGTTATATATCTGGTTTTCATTGTACCAGATCTACTACATGTACTAGATCAAGAGAGCAAGTTACAAAGAAAAGAAAGAGGAGAGATAAGGACGATAGATGTTTGATAGAAAAGAAGGAGCAAACCACACCAGAGCACCCTCTAACCACCCACAAGCTAAAGATTCTGCACTGAGTGAGTCAGAAGCTACGGAAAGGATGCTCCTGCCTAAACAGTTTTTTAGTTTTAGTAGAGGTTTTACGGCGCTCGCAAGGGCACAAGGTCATATTAGCGCAAGGAGATAAGAGTAGGTGTTAAAAAACAGATTAAAAAAGAGTAACATTAGTAACAAACATAAAAAAGAAAAAGGGTAGATAAGGACGATAGATGTTTGATAGGAAAGAAGAAGCGCAAACCCCACCAGCCACCAGAGCACCTGCCAACCACCCACCTAAACAAACAGGGGTCACAAGGTACACAAGAAAGAGGTGAGGTACTACAGTCCATAGTGGGCTTATAATAACAAACATTGAACAAAGAGCCAAGAAACAAAGCAGAATTTGGAAACACAAGAAAACACGATTGTTTATAAAAGTATTAAAAGTATATATTGACAGGATATGTCCATACCATTTATTGATTCAAACTAAAATAACATGAGTTACGCTCAGCGTCACAATCAATCTGACGCTGACCTGGTGGGAAACGTCAAAAAGAAGCACACCAATAAGTTATGAAAGGAATCAAAGATGATGATCAACCATGATGTGGAATTATGAGAATACATTCAAGAGTACTTCCAACTTACTCTATTCCAAAGAAATACCATACCTGCTACAGAATCTTAGTGCCACTGGTATGTTAAAATCTTTTAACGAATGCTTTGACAAACAGTAAAATACTTCTGACCGACACTGTCGTCACAAAATTTTAACATAGTATAAACCAATTTAGTAAGTCAATGTAGCATGCAAAGAAATGGTTCAGTATAAAATGATTCTCTTCTTGTAAAAAGTGAAGAAAAACTGGCAACAGGGGGCCCATGAATGTGAACACGACCCAAAATCCCAACAGGTGTCAAAACCACCGGAGTAGAGAATTGTGCTATACATTTCACTAATGAACACACCCCTGGTCTCTTAAATAGATGCTCCCCTGAGGAAATAAAGACATGCACACCCGCATCTATACACATTCAGTGCACACATACGCACACACATGTACACACACACACACGCGCGCGCAGATCAACACAGCTAAACTACAAAGCAGTCCTTGAAGTCCCAAAGCAGCAGGAGAGAGTTCCAGATCTCAGCAACAGCTCTTCTTGTTGCCTTGTTCTGCACACAGCTCAAATGGATCTTTGTCCTGAGAGGAAATTGCCCACAACACAATATCAATATATCAGAGTCACAGACTATGAGGCACCGCTGCCCCTACATAAAACAAACTGCCAAAAAACATTTCCCAAACAAAAATGTCATTCCACCTGAAGTGCAGAATAATTTAGTCAAAAATGTCAAGAAAGTTATCATGCTATGCTAACAGAAGCGGCAGACACATAGCTATAAGAGTGCTGGCCTAAAGCCTCTGAGCATGAGCTGAGTAAAAGAGTTTTCACTGGTAAGATTTATACTATACCACTGCACGCTGTAGTATAAATATATATATATATATATATATATTCAGAGTAGGGAAGGGTAAGTGCAACTTGTGGCAACTCAGGCCCGAAGGTTTAAGAGTTGAAAAGAGAGATGTTGAGATGAAACGAAATTTTCAATATGAAAGTGATGTTTATTTGAGAAAGGAGAACACAAAGCAGTCATTTAGTCCTGAATAAAAGTAAGACAGACAAACAGAAACAACAGTAGGGAAGAAAACAAGTACAGTAGGACCTATAGGTGGTGCCCTCCAACCACTCCTCTGGCAGTGAGGAAGGAAAAGGTTACCAGAACTATCTCTACTCTAGTTTACGGCATTACATGCGCGAGAGCATTGAGACCAGTAACTATTCATAAGTACACTAGTATAGAATCCATTCGTTGACAGCAAATCACAACATTTTGTTTTTATGGACTAGCATGGAGCTCCTAAACCTGCCAAGCGTGCCCAGGTATTCTGTACATGTATTAAGACAGCCCTGAGTTACCCAAAGCAAGTAGAGTATACTGAAATGTTCCAAATAACTCTTTTTTTAAAAAAATAGTAGAGGGTTTTAAGGCGCTTGCAACTGCATAAGGTAGGTACCAGAATCTAAATTTTCAAAGTAGTTGTATGCCAAATTTATCAGTTTCATTTGAAAGGCCTATATCCACTGAGCATTTTGGTACCATTCTTTAACCTCTCAGTCAATTTTTAAGAAAATGGTAGTTGTTTAAAATTTGATCAAATTTGTTAAAGTCAGTCACTGGCTGCAACCCCATGTTTGACAGACAATAAAAGAGTACCAAGAGCACTAAACATCTCCACATTAACAGAGTACAACCACTATAACAAATATATGGAGCCTAATTTTTTTCAAAACTGTGAGATCATAACAAATCAGTACTTTATCGCCTCAAACACGATGATCTGTCGTTATTTCGACAAAAACACCGAGCGTTGACCTGGCCGGCGCCACACCGGCCCCCGCGGCGAGCGAGTCGGCTCTATACTGTAGTGTACCCCGCGTGCGGGGTCACATGCTTTCTGAGTCTCGCGGAAGGATTGATGAAAAATAATTCCAAGCTAATTACTTTATTCTAATAGAAAATAAGCTGATCTTTTATTTCATATATTTTTTACGCCGGTATCTTACATATTATGGGTAAAAAGTGATCTTTAAACATTTTGACAGTATTTTTAAAAGCTTTTTATTTAGACGCCAAAGGCAAAACACATAGCACGGGAAAGCCCGTTTAAAGCTCTACAGTTCTCCGCCAATGAAAAGACGGTATTTAATCATTCCTCGTTCCGCGAAGCATTTGAATGCACCCGTGTCAATTTTTCAACCGGCCGACCACGCATTCCGACCGCGAGGGGCTTCGCTTTCGTCGGCGATTCTCCAGCTCCTACTAATCGGACATAAAAACAACTTACACCATTTTAACAAGGAAAAGCTGAACTTTTACAAGGTGTACGGCACTTGGTGTTTTATAGTGAAAGAGCAAAGAAACAGCGATCGGAATTATCCCGATTTCACCGATACCACGCGGTCAGAAGGCCGCGAGTGCCCGCGAGGCCGTGTTTACGCTACCTACATTAGGTCATATGAGCGCCAAAGTGTGGGTGTCAACAGAGAAATCTTTACAGGGAATCAGACTTACTCTGCTCACCTCTCTAGCATCAACAGCACAAGGTCTGCCTTGACTATCAAGGCACCCCGGAAATAGCAGGTCACAAGAGAGTGACAAACATACAAAAGAAGTAGAGGAAAATGACAATAGTAAGGATCAGGAAAGAAAAAGCAGCAGTTCCCTGTTGTAGATCAGGCACAGTTATGAGCGTGACATGAATCAGCCCATTTACAATTCTACTGTGCTTGAACGAGAAATGTCCCCCCTTTGGGAATGGCCCAAAGACACTACAGTCAGTGGCACTGCCCGGGGGGGGGGGGGGGGGGGGCAATTAACTCAGCACAAGAAGACAGATACAGGATACAAAACACGACATACCAGCTTTGAGCACTTGCATGGTCCCTTCTCTCCATCGGAGAATGTGAAGAACTGGCTGTAGCGAGAAGTCTTCAAGACGGCTGCAAGACCCGCCTTCACATGGGCCTCTTCACCTTTCTGTGAAAACAAATAAAAAGCAAACAATTAACTTGTGGTCAATATATTATCGTGACCTTATGATTTGAACGTATGAAATGCTCCAATGAGACCTAACAGTCTGTTCTACAGGACAACAAATATAAAGCAAACATAATATATATACTTGATAGATTTGTCTATAGCTTTGCTTCGCACACTTCAATGAAAGAAAATTTCAACCTTCCACTGTCATAACAATTAAAAAACCATGAATGTATGCTTACAGTCAGTTCCGCATCTACAAAAGTTTCCATTCTGAAGTTCTTTATGAACAAACTTCCTTGCAAAGGAAAAGTGGAATAATTTCTTGGGTGATTTTCCATTACAAGCCTTCCTAGCCACAAACTATCAACTCTCTTTTTCTCTTTTCATACACAACTTTCAAACAAATGTCTCTCTCCATTTTCCTTTCAGCCAATGTCAAACGCATCAAACGAAATTTACCTTGAAGGTGATGCCATGATCAAACTTAAAGTCCTCCTCATAGCCCTGGATGCCACCATTGTACTGAATGGTACAGGGGGAGCGTTCTCCTTCAGGAAGCTTGAACAGACTGTAAGTCACTGAGACAAACTTGGCATCACCTGGTCATGGAAACACAGCATCGTCAGTCAGAGCATATATAGACAACAGGACTCATTCAACATAGACCATCTACACAAGACCCCAAGTCATGCAAACTTGGCTGCCCTTTGCACAACACACTTGTTTTTGTTTTTGTAAAGTGTTTTATGGCGCTCACAACTGCATAAGGTTATATGAGCGCACGGGACACACCTAATATTTTCAGTTGGTAGGAAATTTTGAATTTTGCCCGGGTGGCGGCCGAAGCCTACTCTTATTGATTTTAGACCACCAAGGGATCTTTACCATGTGCAACTTGCACACGCGCCCTCCGAGATTTTTCGCCCTTGTCCGAGAAGGCTAGGTGTAGATCTTTCCTACCAGAAGATCAGGGGTGTGGCAGAAAGACAGCAGTAAGGAGGAGCCAAGGAGTAGCAGTAGAAAGACTGCAGAAAGAGTCAGGAGCCCAGAGGAGTGGGCAAAGGAGGTGAGGGGGTGGGGGCAGAAAGTGGAAATAAAAGCAGACAACAAAACATTGCTAGAGAGCAGGAAAGGAGGTGAAAGGAGACAATTTTAGAGAAGAAAATTTTTCAGTTGCTACCCGGATTCGAACCCGGGATCTTTGAATGAGAGGCCAACACCTTAACCTTTAGGCCACGAGAGCCCCCTGCACAGCACACTAAACATTCAAATTTTACTTTGGATCATACGACATGACAAAAATTCAGACACCCTATTAAATGATGAGAACATTTTGGCCCTATGTATTCAGTTAGAAGCAATATAGCCCTGGTCAATGCGTCATTGTGTAAATGCTAAATAATCCTCATACTAGCCTCACCACCCACCACTTACAAAATTAAACAGTGATACAACAGTCAGTAGTAATAAATCCATTCACATGGGATTGAATATTTCATGAAAATCTCTTTTTTTCTAATTCCTATTGCCACGACCGATACCCATTTGGCAGGGAAATACAAAAGACAGACCTGTCTTTAACCCTAGTGTTCTGGATTGTCCGATTTCCCTAGAAGCCTGTAAGGGGGCCTCTCAGACCCCACTATTTATCCTTTGTATTTTATGGATAAACTTGGTGGTTGATCATCATTTACAGAAACTTTAACACAGAAACGTTGAAACAAAACACCCAAGACTACACATACAGAAATAATCTGTTTAACGAACACATTTATTGAACTTTATATATCATATATTAGTTGGTGAACAACTTTGATTGAGGTTATCGATGCAATTCTGGCACTTTTTTTCCTAATGATTGTGGGTCGGTTATGTCATGAGCATGCTGTTTTTATTGCTGAATAATGAGATTGAATTTGAATGATGATGTGGTAGTTTTTCAGTTAAAAATGAATCTCATGAAAATGCCCAAGAAGACTTAATTACGGTAAATGATAATTAGGATGATGCCAAAATAGTGTGGTACGTATAGTAACTTGGTACCAGTACTGGCACCGAAGACCAGGAGACAAGTGCTCGGAATATGAGTGTCTACTGACAGTGAAGACAAACACGCTTGGAAACAGACTGTTCCCCACAAACTGATATTTCACAAGATATTCTGTCCTTGTTTCTCTGATAAAGTCCACAGCGTTTCCTCTTTCTTGGCCCATGTTCAGTGACCAGTGTTCTTGCTTCTTGGGTTTGGGTAAGTGGTGTGACACCACAGAGAAGCATGCTCATACGAACTGACTTAGGAATGTTCTCAGTGGCAGCCCGGCAGTGTATTAATGGCAGGCAGAGCTCATCACCCAACATCCCGAGGAAGATTTTTCTCCTGTGTTTATTGCGGATATTCCACTGGGGATTTTGAGCAGTGAAGCAGATGTAAGCAGCAATAGCTGCAACATCCCACAGATTGCAGAAGAAGGTCAGAGGCCATCTCACGGTCTTCCTCTTTGACATGTATGCATGGACCATCTGGTCCAGAGACTCCACACCGCCCTTTGTTTTGTTGTAAAAGATGTTGATTTCTGCTTTTCTGGTCTCCTCATCGAAGCTGCCATTCGGTACATACTTGGCAGGAGGAGAACTGCCTTTCCTATTATAGTAAAAATGCCTTGGGGTCTGAGAGGCCCCCTTTAGGGTTCAGGGGGGTTGTCCTAGGAAAATAGTCATCACTGTCTTCAAAATTATCCAAATAACTTCATAGACCGTATTCATGCTTATCAGAGGGTGTTTGAAGAAAACCTGGGAGGAAAATAACATCGAACCCAAAGTTTTGTCGAAAATGCCTAAAGTATACCTGTTGGGGTCTGCGAGGCCCCCATCCAGAAGACTAGGGTTAAATACAGTTCCGCAAGATGGATTTCCTCCAAAAGATTTAGAATACAGTAGAACACGGCTATAGCGGGACATTTGGTTCCAGGAGAAAAATCTCGCTGTAAGCAAGTTCCCGCTATAGGAAAGCAAAGGGGAAATTACCGAAAAACTTATAAAAATCCATATGAACACCTTCCTTCCATATCAATAAAATTTGCGCTTTTGATTAGTCTTCCTTTTCTTGTCAACTTTGTTGATTATCTCGGCCTTTAATTCGAGAGAGAAGCATTTCCTTTTGTCATTGTTGGAAGCCATCTTTTCCTCGGTTTCATTGCTTGTGTTGTCTATCGTACAGGAAGAGAAACTGTAGAACCAGTGAAGTGGGTGCGTGCGTATGCCTATGAGCATCAACGGTCGCAATTCAATGAATCAGGAATCACACACTACACGCTCTCCTCTTCTTTTACTTTTTGGCATAGCCTAGGCCTTTGGCCTATACCCTCTCATACTAAGCCTCTAACTCTAAGCCACGGCACATCACTTTTGGAGTGGCTTACGTAACATGTCTCTCCGCACCAGCTCTCTCTGCCGCCTGCCCCACCTCACTCATCACTGGACTGGCCATTCACAACGCTGCACCACTGACTGCCTGTTTGGTGCCCACAGCCCCCCAACCCCCTTCCCCCCAGCTAGAGCTCGCTCAATCTCTCCCGCTGTATCCGAGCTCAGGTCTTTCCTTGCCTCGCTAAACCCGAGCACAGGTAATTGAGTTTACATAGAGAAAAAAAGGGGATTACTTTAAGGTCCCGCTGTAGGCATGGTCCCGTTGTAGTCGTGTTCTACTGTATTACCAAATGTTTACGTGGACATTGCGATATACTAGTACTGCAACAGCCAAAGGCCGATAAAGGAAGACATACGGGTGAAGAAATGGAAATGGATTGGACACACCCTGAGGAGACCCCCGTCAAGCATCATCAGGCAGGCTTTAACGTGGAACCCACAAGGAAAACGAAAGAAGGGAAGACTAAAGATGACATGGAGGCGAGCGGTACAAGCGGAAATTGAAAAAGCGGGGACATCATGGAAACAGATAGAAAAGGATGCTCAGGACAGACTTCGCTGGAGTAATGCTGTTGATGGCCTGTGCTCCACTGGGAGTTAAAAAGGGCAAGAGAGAGAGAGTACTGCAACATGCTGGTACCCACCGAGAAAGTCCTTGTAAGACTTGTCGTCGATGGAGAAGAGTCCTGCAGTGACCATGCGTGGTGTGGAGAAACCAATCTCTTCAGCCAGTCTGTACAGATCCCGCCACCAGAGGGCACCCACCACACACTCACCTGAGGGGACAAAGAAACAACTTACAATTTACATCTTTAAACCATATTATATCACTTTGATAAATTACACTTTCTACTGTCACCTCATTCATTACCTTGATTATTTACAATTATCCCCTACCCTCTACTTCACTTATGCTTTGATTTACACTTTATATATTCACTGTTTCTTACTCTAAAACTGGCAGTTGGACAGCTGCACATGTTTCCAAAGTCCTCTTGATTATAGATATTTTTCTGTCTTTAGAGATTTGAAAATTAATTCTTCACATGGGTTATATTACAATTTAAGATATTTTTAGCTCTCTTCAGAGAAAAAAACACAAAAAACAGTTTTTGTTTTTGTAAAATGTTTTACGGCGCTCGCAACTGCATAAGGTCATATGAGCGTGCGGGACACACTTAATATTTTCAGCTGGTAGGAAATTTTTAATTTTGCCTAGGTGGCGGCCGAATGCTACTTTTATCGATTTTAGACCACAAAAGGATCTTTAAAGTGCGCAACTTGCACATGGGCCCTCCGAGAAGGCTAGGTGTAGATCTTTCCTACCAGAAGATCAGGGGTGTGGCTGAAAGACAGCATAAAGAAGAAGCGAAGGAGTAGCAGTAGAAAGGCTGCAGAAAGAATCAGGAGCCCAGAGGAAGGGGCAAAGGAGGTGAAGGGGTGGGGGCAGAAAGGGGAGATGAAAGCAGACGACAGAACATTGCTAGAGAGCAGGAAATGGGGTAAAAGGAGACAAATTTAGAGAAGAAAATGTTTCGGTCGCTACCCGGATTCGAACCCGAGACCTTTGAATGAGAGGCCAACACCTTAACCTCTAGGCCACGAGAGCCCCCCAAAAAACAGTGCTACCAAAGTCAATTTTATGATTTGAAAAAAAAAAGATGTCTTAATGATTGAATTTTTAAATGTATGATACAAAACCCTGCAACTTTGAGGATATGAGACAAGAAACTCATTTTTACCATACCCATCTCAAATCAACATGATAAATCTCTGGCAACTCATACAGTTTATGCCTACCCTTCTTTATCACAAAGCTGCCAATTGTGCCCAAGCGAGTCTACACAAAGCTTTCAAACCAATTGAAGACTTACACCACAACTCCTCATGTTCTCTGATATTTGCAGGCAAATCTTTGTCAGCATAGACATCGCTGAAGTAGAGCTCTCCTCCATCCTGAAACACAAGAGATCATCTCATCTCAGTACTTGGTAAAGCTGTGAAAGTAGGACTTCCCAACGGCACCCTCCAACCACCCACTACCACTCTGGCATATCTATCCAAACATAAGTTGTTTTTTTTTTAGTAGAGAGAAGCACTTGGACAAATTTACTACGGTGAAATGCACCTCTGGTTGACAAATGGAAACAATAGAAGAGACAAAAAGTAGGACCTCCAACAGCACCCTCCAACCACCCACTACACTAGCTGAAAGTAACAGCCTCGATGCAATAAAGTAAGACAAGACAACACTCTAGGCTGCAAGAACTGGCGGAATAACGTCATACTAGAAATAAGTCATGATCGAGGAAGAAAACAAGGTAAGAGGTGATAGTAAAAAAGGAGGAAGACAAGTAAAAGAAGTAGAGAGGATGATAGCATCTCTGAGCACAGAATTTCAACAACAGCACAGAATATTGTTTGTTTGTTTTTTGTAAAGTGTTTTACGGCGCTCGCAACTGCAAAAGGTCATATGAGCGCGTGGAACACACCTAATATTTTCAGTTGGTAGGAAATTTTGAATTTTGCCCGGGTGGCGGCCAAAGCCTACTCTTATTGATTTTAGACCACCAAGGGATCTTCAACGTGCGCAACTTGCACACAGGCCCTCCGAGATTTTTCGCCCTCGTCCGAGAAGGCTAGGTGTAGATCTTTCCTACCAGAAGATCAGGGGTGTGGCTGAAAGGCAGCAGTAAAAAGAAGCGAAGGAGTAGCAGTAGAAAGGCTGCAGAAAGAATCAGGAGCCCAGAGGAAGGGGCAAAGGAGGTGAGGGGGTGGGGGCAGAAAGAGGAGATGAAAGCAGACGACAGAACATTGCTAGAGAGCAGGAAACGGGGTATGAAAGGAGACAAATTTAGAGAAGAAAATTTTTCGGTCGCTACCTGGATTCGAACCCGGGACCTTTGAATGAGAGGCCAACACCTTAACCTCTAGGCCAAGAGAGCCCCCTAGCACAGAATAAAAGGCATGCACTTCACCAAACAACTCTTATTCCTTATCCCCCCCAAATAAAAGAACAAATTTATGATTCACTTAAACAAAAACCATGCTTTCAACCAGTTTCTTACCTTCAGTGCTCTGTATGCCTCTTTAAGCACAGCACGCTTGTCCTTGGCTAGATTGATAACACAATTGGATCTGAAAAACGGAACCAAAAATTGTTCTGTCTCATATGTTTCATAAACACAGACCAAGTTAGCAATGTACTCATTGACAAGAGTCATGGCAAGTAGAGCCAGCAATAGGAGTAAAATTCTACCATATCTGCTGAGACTTAATTCCATGCCAAAGTGCACTGAGGGCTTAGCACCAAATCTTACACATTAGTATAACAACATAAGCTTACTGTGGTTTATAATTCGCTGTGATTACCAGACAAGCCAGAATCACGTGAAATAAGTAAACAAACTCAGTGTAGCCTAGTGAGTGTAGGAGAATAAGGGAGCACGGGGGGTATATAAACAGACGGCGAAGGTTAAACTGGTCTTCTGAGCCACGACTAAAACCTAGTCTGAGCAGGGATCGACGCTACTGGTGGGTCGACACAGTGGATGGAGCTCCGGACCAGTACGACCCACACTCATCGTTCCCCGCTCGAAACAGTGAGTATTGAAACCGACGTAAATAGACTAACGAGTAGAATCTAGGATTAGATAGCAGTTATCCTCTCATTACACTTACAAAAAAAAAAAAGAACATCATAGCAAAAAGATTAGAACAGAGTAAACCGAGTAGGTCTTTTTGTTCAGTTGAAGCTGAAAACAGGAACTGAAATTCCACAGCTAGTTTTACCAAGGCTTAAGACTGAAGTAAAACATTGGATCAATTCAGTTACAAAAGCGTATTCCATACCTACACACATAGATTAAAAGGCGTGTACATCCATACAAAACACAAACACACACACACAAAAAATAACCTGTCCTCATGATAACACAACACTAACCACGTAGATAATGACTGGTACACACAGAAAAACGAACAAATAAAGTGACAGAAAAATGAAATACAAACAAACAAGACAGACAACTCACACAATGAGGTCAAACTTGTTGCTGGGTATGCCTGCCTCTTGCATGAGTTCCATGTTGCCTTTGACAAAGCTAATGTTGGGCTTGGAGTAGCCGTACAGCTGGGTGTGGTAGTCGATATACTTGTTCGCAACAGCAAGCTGAAGCCCACAACAGGAGAACACATGAGTACATGATGCAGGGAGACATTAGTGAGATACACTGCACATCCATGCCCCCTTTTCTTGCTAAGAACAAGGAGGATGATAAAGAAATCTGGCTGACATTAATTCTGTGTTGGCATCTAAAATGACAACAGCCAGATTTCTCCAAAAAACAAATACAAAAACAGTAGTACTGAGCAAAAGTAGAAGGAGCAGACAACAGCAAAGGCAAACCAATCACCATCTGATATAAAAGAGACTGACAGAAAAAAACCAGATAGACAAGACTAAAAATTATAGTCTTGAACTGCGCCCCCTCCCACCCTCTCCATCCAGACCTACAAGTAAGAAGGTTATTTCAATGATGCAAAGTGCCAGATTGTTGAAGACACTGGAAAAACCAAATCGAGGGGGACTAGATCTACCATTAGTTTCTTTGACAGAAAAGTAAAACCCATCAAAGAACACAAGTTGAATCAGTGTCCACTTAGTACACACCTGTTCATCTGTCATGTCCAGCCCAACCACTTCTCCATCCTGACCAACCAGCTTGCTGAGGATGTAGCAGTCTTGACCGCTCCCGCTGCCCAGATCTAGCACGGAGGATCCCCGTAGTGCCGGCGGGAAGACAGGACCACAGCCGTAATACCTGAAGAAGAAAAGGCCAGACAAATGCTATATATAATATTATTATTAATATATAGTATTATATCCGAGGTCATTAGAAAGTTTCTTCAGAAAAGGAACACTAAATTGCTCTGTGAAACAGAAACTTTCTCCAAGTTAATTTAATTGCTGTTAAATGTATTATTTCTTTCAGTTGTTCAGACTCATATATCCCTAGTCACCTCCCTCCTATATGTTCACTTAACAGGCCTTGTAGTTATCGAAAATAAAAACAAGTAAGTCATTTCTCGTTTCTGTTGAAGCGTGCTATTCAAAGAAATATTGGAGGAAGTGCCATTCACTATTGTTCAGAATGCGAAATAAAGCGAAACACATCGAATCAATTGCGGTCACTTAGCCCTGGCAAACAGTAATACAGACAGAAACCACAGACAGATAAATAATTATCAAGATGTAGAACTTATTAGAGGCAACCTCCAATAACAAGCGCTCTTGCTCCAATGGAGAACTCAATATGCCCAAAGATTAAAAGCACAGACCAACACCAGGTATGTTCCATGATAGGACTACACTCAGTAGAAGGTGCAACAGTGGTTATCAAATGTGGAAAGGAACTGCAAAATCAAAGCCTGGGATATTTTTTCTGCTGCTGCCCTCAAACTCAAAGGATCTGGTCAGATATAAGAAAGAAAAAGCTGTCCAAACAACATGAGGTGAGAGTGCGGACAGCCACAATGTTATCTTCTCTTCAGAACTCACAATTTTGGTGAGAAGGGATTCTAGTTCTATGGGAAAGCATGGTTTAGATCAGACAGCAAGTAAAAACTGAAAAGCCCATGATTTTTTAAAGGTCATTTTGAAGGCTAAAACCTAATGATAGAATTCTTTGCAAGACTGGACTGACAAAACATACAAAATTATTTATTGATATTGAGAGAAAGAAATTTCTCATCAAACAGCCCAATACATGACAGGACAAAAATGAATATTCTTTCTTGACTAGAACTGCTTACTTATCAGTGACCTCCTGATGCACTGCTCCAATGGCCTCCCGGATAAACTTTGGGTACTTTCCAGGCTGACTGGTGCATGCTCCAGTCTTGAGGTCAGAGGATTTGGTTAAGATTTTTCCATAGTATTCTTTAACTGCCTTCTCGGAGTCAAGAGTCGCAGGAGCTGCAGCATCTGCCATGGCTTTCGATAAAGTTCTGAGGGGAAAAAAATCAGAGACAAAAATTGAAAAAATAACCCACAAGGATTTTATGGTCCAGAAAAACTGTAGACTTTCAAAACCCTACTGGGCCATCAATATATCTTTCCCTATCTTCTCGGAACCATCAATGCCATACACATTGTAACAAATTGTATGCAAGGTTACTGAGGAGCAGATGGTACAATGAAAAAAGGTACCACCACTTCAGACAGTTTCCTTTGATCTCTGACCAAAAGCAAAGACAACTAAAAATAACAATATGCCACTAACATAAACATTAGACTGACAAAATATTATATATTTTAAAAATTGGACAATCAGTAAATATTTTGCTTATAACGTTATCTCTATAATTTATATTTGCCTCCTGTAATCATCATTATATCCATACAAAATTTGTTTTGTTGTCTCTTGTTACCTCCAGTTGCAGCATGGTGTTGCCTCTTGCAGTCACCATCAATCACCATCTTTGATCTATCTTGTCTCGTTTATATCTCCCCAACAATAGTTTCTCTTCATGACATGACAACTTTTTGGCACCATCAATATCTAAAATAAAATAGCTCCTTGCTATTGTTACCATCACCAACTACAGTTTGTTAAATAGCATTCTGTAAATATATCGCAATCTATAATTTGCACTGCCTCTTGTCACCATCTTCAAATAAATTTGCCTCTCCTCTCATCACCATCATCAATTCTATAATTTGCCTTGGTTCTTGCTGAGGTAACATTGCCACTAATTATTGCATTTTGCCTTTGTTTTCCGTTGTCAAAATAGCCATTTATATGGATTTGCTTTCTTGCATAAAATTGTCCTACTATCATGATCATCACAGTAATAGTTCTTCTACGCCTGCTGTTGTCACCCTAGATCACGCAATTTGAACTGCCTCCCTTCCGTCATCATCAGCTGCTTTTTTGCTCTCTGTCTTTGGGAAAAACATAATAGGCCTATAGTTTGTCTCTGCCTCTTGGGGTCACCATCACCATAGACTATTCATCTCCCTTGCCATTACCATCTACAGTCAGTCAGACTTGGGAAAATACATTGTAAGTTTCCAAATATATGAAAAAAACCCACAGCTCTAACAAAGCTCATCTTGAGTGTGCAGCAATCAACTTTCAGTGTAGAGCTGTAACAGTAACATAAGTCAGGTTAAGTTTCTAAGAAAAGGGGTCATTTACTGGATATATAGTATAGATCTAGCCACTACTAAAACAGACCTTTTAAAATGACCAAAACCCTGACGAAAAGTTCTTGTAAATGTAGATCTAGCGGTAACTAAGGCAAACATAATTTGCTCAATATGCGCAGGCAGCAGAAAGTGATGTCACAGGCAGAAGATTATTTCTCAGCCACAATGTCCCGTCTCGTGCGTGTATCCTGTAATTTACAGGGTAAAATATAATGAAGAATAGAAGGGCCTTTGTGATGGCTTTCAACTGAATAAGTGAGCTTACGATACTTAATCATACTAGATCAGACTCGATCTACCCATCATTCTGAGGATTGTCATGTGGTGGTACGTCTAATTTCTTGGCAGAGAATTACATCTATATCTAGATTCTAAATCTATTTTGGAAGTGCCTATTGGCAACGCCGCGTTGCGATTAGTGCCAGTGCTAAATTAAACGCAGCGTTGCTGATTAGCGCCAGTGCTAAATAAAACGCTGTGTCTTAATATGAAGCTTAATCTACCTTTCGTTGTTGGAAGTTCTCATGGCCGAAAGGACAGCGCGTCTGCATTTGAAGCCAAACCATTATTTTATGAGTGTGGGTTCGATCCCAGTCATGGAAGGTTGTTTTTTTTTTTGTCCTCTTCTCGACTGACCAACAAATTTTTCCCATAATTATAACTTGGTTGCTTTGTAGGTTTAAAAAAAATGTATATCTAGATCTAGAATGAAAATTAGTAATTAGATCTAGATCTAGATCTAGATTTAGTAGGACCCCTAGATCTAGATTATAGATTAGGCCTATTCTAGTTCAAGCCTAGCCTAGTGTTGAGTGGTCTGCTACAATTCAGTTCATCGTCACCAGATCTAGCCGATCTATATCTAGATATATAGATATATAGATCTAGATCTAGATCTAGATTCTAGATCTAGATATCTATCAAGATCACATGGCGCTCATATGACCTTATGCAGTTGCGAGCGCCGTAAAACCTCTATTAAAACTAAAAAATCAAGATCCTTAGGTTAGGCCTACTGACATCACTGTCAACATCAACGGCCAAGAAAGGGTCAGGGATGAGAGGGACACCGACAAGCTGAAACTGAAAGCGAAAGTGCTTCGCTGTGGCCTACCAAAAAAGCAAAATAGATTTCTAGTTCTAGATCTAGATCTAGATCAAGAGTCTAATGGTATTTGAATACTTACATTTAGCATTCAAATTCAAACGAAAGTGTTGACTGTGTTGACGTTGATGCAAGAACCTCTCCCGCCTTCCTTATAAACCATATATCAATGAAATGTGAATCACACTCCTGTTGTGATTGTGATTCCCGTCCCTTACAAGTCATCGGGAAAACTTTAACCCGCTTGTGGCCAATCAGAGCGAGCCCTCGTGGTTTTTACGAATCGAAAAAAAGACCCTCGGATCTGCCCATTGAGGAACGGGTTCACCTTGAATGTTTCACATGAGGTCAAAATGTGAAGACAAACAAAACAGGGGCGTCGACAGAAGCTAACGGGGCGACACCATGAACAGGAAAACAAGCGTGTTCTGTTATCATTAGGCCTATTTACGTAACCACACATTCTCATGACCTAGATTATAATATACATATTATGTAGTTATAGTAGAGCAGTAGAAACTGCAATATATTATTTAAAAATAATGAAAAATAATAATGAAATAAACCTATATACCGAGCCGTTTTATATTGGCGTTGTGATGTATAGGGCCTGTTGTTATTAACTCGAAAACTCCGACATAGCAACTTCGAGAGGAGCATCATAGATAATGCTGTACAGAGACCCTAACTTCATTCAAGCGTGAACACATCATCTCGGACCACTGACATCATCAGAATAACACGACACGGCTTTGGGGGAGGGAGGGGGGAGGGGGGCTACACCTCCAAAGTCCCGATTCGGCTCAAAATTATGGAATTTGAATCATAGGCATCTGACTTCCTCAGCCTCTCCTACAACTATTTCATCACGTAAGAACCCCCAAAAAATCCGTATTTTTTCCCCATACCGAGCATGTCTGTGACCACCATTTCCTCATTAAGTCAATTTTATATTTTATTTTTCTTTATCGGCCGTTTTCTCAAAACGTGACTTTTCTCTATACTTTTTTGAA